GATCAATTTGCCGGTATTTTTTCTAGCTTTTATAACCTTGAATAATGTTTCTTTTAAAGGCACCTTGGTAGCTTGAAAAAGTCGAAATTAATAATGTTATTTATATTTTGATCTTTTAGCCTTTTTTTCCGAATTTGGGTTTTTATGCTTTTATATTTATCTTTTTTTTACTCTTTTCGCGTAATAAGCGGCGTGAATGTTAAAAGCTAGCGCGTTGATTATACGTAATTGATATCAATAATTTAAACTTAATTTATATATCTAATAGTAATTTGCCAGGCGTTACTATTGACGATATTAACTTCTGGTCGATGCTTCTTCCTAATAGCGACTTGTTTTACGATATTATCGACTTTATTAGCTTTTATCCGATGGTTTTTTTTAATAGGAACTTGCTTTACGCTATAATTAACAATACTAACCTTTGTTAAATAGTTATTATTATTAATAGCTTATTATTTATCATTATTTACTTTTAACTTTTAAATGGCAATATTTGATATAATAGCTTAATAATTATTGCCGTTGTGAACTTTCCGGCTTTATTTTTATAAATACTCGCTGCCGTTTTAAGTAGTAAGTTTATTACGCTTTTATCTTTTTTAGTTTTAATAGCCGCGCTTTTTCAACGTGCCCGATTTTAACTTCGTGTTTTTTCCGCTTTAACAAAAAGCTTGTTTATAAAAAAAGATCATTTTTATCGTTCGATTTATTTTCCCGGCTAACGCTTTTATTGGGCTTTTATTCATTTATAATAATATCCGATAAGCTTTTTTTTAATTAAAAGAAAGAAAAAATTTAACCGGCTTATATTTTATATAATAAACGACTGTTTAATAAAACTTATCTTCCCAAATAGTATAATATATTTTTAATCTGTTGGAAGTATAAAAAAGTTTAAAGCATTAAATAATAATTAAGTCGAATAATCTTTTTTACTTACGATTAGTACTTTTAAATGTTGAATGTTTTCAACAGGTTTTCTACTTCAAAACTTGCAATTTTCAAGCGCATGATTTTATAAGTGTAAGTTAAACTAATTAAAACATAATATATAACATATATAAGTAGTTCAAACGGGTTAAGATTCTTACTTTGACGGATTTTGAGGAAATTTTTATAAAAGTATCAAGTTAAAATGCTACGTTAAAGTTAAACGATAAAAACACTACGTTTAATAAACTATTAAGCTTTACTAACCTGATTTTTTTTTTTTAAACTGTAACCTACTATGAAAAATTTTATTTAACAAAAAGCGGACAAAATCTTCGCTTGAATTATTTTGTCGGCTTTGTTTAATATAATGTTTAGGTATAGCCTTTGATTTCTTGAAAGCGGTTAAAATACTTTTAAGATTAAAAAGGTTATTAAAGGCGTATTTTTAAACGTAGCACGTTTTATGTATCGTAATAATAGTTAAAAAGATAAAAAAGCTTGCTTTTCAACGTTTTCAATAGTAATATTGAAACCGCACGTTTCTATTATTAAGTAATAAGCATATGTAAACGTATTGAAATTAAAGGTAATAGTATTAAATATTAGTTTGTAAGTAACACGGCTAAGTTTTAATTAAAAGTCGTGAAGAGTTTATATTCAGTGAATATTTAAAATACGGTTACAAAATTCAAACGGTTAAGCGAACAACGTAAGAAGTTAAATTATGTTATTAATTATACTTAAAGCAAGTAAAATATTTTAAGTAATAACAACAAAAAACAAGCGAATAGTAAAAAAAGTCTTAACTTTAATTTTAAGTTTGGTTTTAATTTTGAGCTGGTTTTTACACCTGGTCGAAGAGCGGTATTAATTTAAAAAATTAGATAAAATAAGAGGTGAAAACTTATCATCAAAACTAAAAAAAGCGAAAAGAAAAGTGATAATAATTACCATATATGTTTTTACGCGTATTTTTCTTTTCATATTATTAGTTATATTGCTTTCTAGTTATCATGTATAGCAAGTCTTTTTAACGAGGTTAAGTAAGGAAACTGTACAAATTATAGCTATAAGTAGTATACAAAAATGTAAGAAAATATCAGTTACGCGCGATTAGCATTAAAAGCGAATAAGAGTAAATAAATAAAAAAGGTATTAAAACGAAAGAAATTCCTTATATGAGCGGCCTTATATAAAGGGCTGATAAAATAGGTAACGGGCTAGCCGAATATATACCGGGCTTAAGATAAAATTCAAAACAATAAACTATCGATTTAATAAGCAAATATGATTATTATAACGTTAATACGAGGCTTTTACATTTTACAACGCTTCGTTCTAAAAACTTCAATATTCAAATAAATATTTTTCTTATTATGAAAGTGTATATTTTATTTTTAAATATAATATAATATATTATATGTTTATGGCTTACTTATTAGAGACTTATTAAGTATATAGTGATAACTTATCGCTAGTTTTATATTATTTAGTAGGTTTTTGTTATATAAAAAACCGCTGTTTAATATAATACGCTTTTACGATTATATTTTTTTTTTGGTTTTACTTCAAGGCGTATTATTTATTACGTCCGTTTAGCTAAACATTTTCTAACTTAATAACTCTTTGTATTTCATGAATTCTGATTTAGTGAACATTCTCGCGTCTTTAATAGTAAAACTTTTAAAGCCAGGGTTTCAAATGTTTGGAAAAAAATTATGGTTATATCAATTAATATTGATTAATACAAAATATATATATATATATTTACCGATAATAAAACTATAAGTTTTTACCATATCAAAATAGTAAAAATTATAACATATTTTATTATCGAAGCTTTTCCGTTTATTTAAATGTTACATTGCTTATATTTTTTAATATTCTTTTAAAGTCTTAATAAATACCAAGCGATAGCACTGCGGCGTTAAATAGTGTTAACCTTTTTCTTTTTTAGCCTTATTCATTATTAATTAACTTAGGTTTTATAACTTAAAGTCGTAAAATTTACTACATATTTTATTTTTATTAACCGGGTGTTAATTACGCGTACTTAATTTTATTATGTTTTATATGTAACTGTAAAGTTTATTGATTCAAATTTAAATTTAAACTTAATAGGTAGCTTACGTATAATAAAGCCGGTATTTTATTTTATATTTTCAAATCTTATTAGTTTTGTGAGGGGCTTAAAAAAAAGCTTAGTTTTATCATTTCTATTATAATTAAAAAAATTTATATATAGCTATAATAGAAAGCTTCAAGTTTAAGCAGTAGGGTATACGTAGCATAAAGTTGTTAATACCAGTAAAAAAATTGTCGATATTCGTAAAAAAATGTCCGTATTAAAAAAATTTGTCGATTTATCGGTATAGTTATAAAAAATTTAACGTTAAAGTAAAAACAGTTTAAATATCGTATAACGCTAATAAATAAATAAATAATAACGAACTGATAAATTGACCTTACGTAACATTTACGTAATCTTTTTTTACTATATAATTTGTTTAAATATAACTAGCTAGGACTTTTAATTTTTTAAATTAAGATTTTAATTCGTGAGCTGTTGATCACAAAACGTTGTTCATAAAAAAGTAAAAAAAGCCGAGTGGTTTATATTCAGCTAGGTTATTATAAAGAAATTATTTATAAAAGTATTAAAAGTTAAATAGTTTATATTCAGTTAGGCTGTTGTAAGTAGGTTGTTTATAATAGTACTAAAAGGTAAGCAGCTTATATTTAAGGTATATGTTATAAGCGGATAGTTGCTAAGAAAGGAAGAAGCCGAATAATTCGTATTAAAACGGGTGTTATAAGTAGGTTATTAGTGGGAATATAATAACTTAAGTAGTTTATATTTAGGTTTACTGTTATAATTGTATTATTAAGCGTAAATATTAGAAGCTAAATATTTTATATTTAGATTTATTGTTATAGCTATATTATTAAGCGCCAGTATTAAAAGTCAAGCAGTTTATATTTAAATTAAATATTATAGATAAATTATTAATGTTATATTTAAAAAATAAACAATCGGTAGATAAGCTTATTATCGTAAGCGCGTTATTAGCGTTGATATTACAAAATTAATATATATTACGCTTGCAGAGTATTAGTAGCATATTTAAAATATATGTTTCGAACAATAAAGCTTTAATACGTAATGATAATATTAATAGTAGGTTACATATTATATTTAGGGTTATAAAAGTGACTTTTTGAGAGAAATAATATTATAAAACATTTAAACTTATCATATAACCTTACGTAATGCTAGTAAAAATAAAATAATAATTTAAACGATAATATATATTTATAAAATGTTAAATAGTTTTATACATGTTTATAAAAAGAAAGAAATTATAATATATAGTGTTTTCAAATAAGCTGATATTTAAAAAAAAAAAGCAAGGTTTACTATTAAACCTTTGGCCTAATACTTATATATTAACGTCAATTACGTGCAATCAATATAACCTTAGAAATAGTTAAAGTGTATTTAAGACAAATATTCATAGTTGCGGGTTATAATGTATGTTTCTAAATAAACAAAATGAGGATAATATAATATAATAATACTTTAAATTTAATATATTTTATAAAGTAAGTTTTTTTATTTATAACGTAGATACTTACTTAATAAATGTTTTGTTAATAAATTTAGCCCTTTTAGTTTATAGGCATAACCGACTTTAGAAATTTTAAGGGTGGGTGTATAGCTGAATTGTGGATATGAATTACTTTCCGTTGGAGGCAGCCCTAGTTCTCTGCCGTGATATCTATCTCGACGACCAGGCCCGGATGGCGCCATCGTGTCTGGACATTGATCCATGTCACCATTGGCTACAAGCTGGGTCTTATCAAGCAGGTGTGGGCTTAACCACCGGCGTCCTCCACCATGCGCTTGCTTGCTTGCCGTTGTAGACGGACGTCCGACGATAGTATTAAAGAAGCCAATGCGCATTGATAACAGGTTGACGAATCCACGTAACTAGTGCTCGCACCTTCCTTTAACCAGATCGCTTACCGTGTTTCACCTTTGGTTGTTTCTTCAATACGTGAAAATGGACAAGAAGTCCTCGGTCGAGCCTGATCAAGCCCGTGCCGTCGAACCTGCTCCGTCTCGATCGCCTGGGGAAAAGTCACCAGCCTCGACGAGAGATCTGGATGATGCATACGAGCTCTATCGACAGCAAGATGCCCAAGACCTGGATCCGCAGGAGGCACGCCAGGTGCTGCGGAGGATTGATTGGCATCTTCTGCCACTTCTGATGGGGACGTATATGCTTCAGTACTTGGATAAATCCAGTATCAACTTTGCAAGCGTCTTCGGACTGCAAAAAGGAACACACCTTCAGGGGCAAGAGTGGTACGGTCACCTCAATCCTCCGTTGCTTGGGCATTTCTCTGTTCTAGTACTAACGTTTCGACAGTAAGTAGAAATGTCATCGTCTGTCCGGGCACAGCTGGGTATATCTTGGAAACCTGGACTAAAAGTACTAATATGACCCCCTTTCATACGATAGACTCATGGTTGTCGTCCATATTTTACATCGGGTACTTGGTAGCACAACCCCTGGCCGGCTTCCTTCTCCAGAGGCTACCCGTGGGAAAATTCATCGGTAGCACTGCTTTAGGTGAGTCTTCCTTTGCCCACAATCTCTGGCAATGGGCGGACGGGAGCTAATGTAGGCAACCTAGTCTGGGGCATGCTTACCATCACTACGCCGGCATGCACCAACTTCGCAGGCATAGCAGCGAACAGGTTCTTGCTGGGCTGCTTCGAAGCCGTGGTCAACCCAGGCTTCGTACTGGTTCTGTCAATGTGGTATCGCCAGGATGAGCAGCCGATGCGCATGGTCACCTATTACTGCATGAACGGCGTGGCTGGTATATTTGGTGGCCTGCTTGGCTACGCAATCGGCCATATTACGTCGGGCTTGCAGCCGTGGCAATACATCTTCATCATCTTCGGCTCCATCAGCTTGGCATGGGGAATCGTATTCCTCATATTCATGCCCGATCTTCCCACCACTGCACGTTACCTCAACGGGCGACAGAGGATCGTCGCTGTGGAGCGGGTCACCATGAACCGTCAGGGGGTAAAGAACCACCACTACAAGGCTTACCAGTTGAGACAGTGTCTGCTGGACCCAAAGACGTGGATACTCTTCATCATGTCTGTTGCAGCACAGATTCCCAACGCGGCGCAGTCGACTGTAACTCATCCAGTCGGTGATTTGCTGCTGGATATGCTAATAATCGTACAGTTCACGTCGATCATTCTCGAGACTTTCGGGTTTGACGTTCTCCAAGCCCAGTACATGCAGATCCCTGGCAACGTCATTCAAATCGGCTCTCTTTTAGCTTCTGGATGGATTTCGTCCCGCTTCCCCAACATGCGATGCGCTGTGATGCTCGTCAGCAATCTGATCTGTGTGGGAGCTGGTGCTGCGCTTGTGGGATCACCCCCTGGCCCTGACGGCACCGACAACAAATGGGGTCGGCTTGTCGCCCTCTGGTTGTGCTCATTCACATCTGTGGGGTTCAGTATGAGCCTCACCATGGTTAGTAGCAACGTGGCAGGCTATACCAAGAAGCAAGTTACCGGGGCGATCCTTTTCATCGGATACTGTGTCGGTAATGGTATGTTTCATGGAGGCGTTATGCGAAGCCTTTCTATTTCTCCATCACCCCTCCAATGAAAATGCTGACTTGTCATAGTACGTGTCAATGCTCTCTGGCGATTCCGGTGAAGCTTCTTTTACCTGCATGGCAGAATATTAACCGACGGCAGATCATTGGACCGCAAACGTTCATCGAAACCGAAGCCCCCCTGTATACCTCGGCCTATATAGCGTAAGTAAAGCAGCAAGGAGAGAGACCGCTTCGACCCAATTCCAGCCCGCGACGAATCTAATCGCATCGTAGCATCCTCATTGGCTATACAGCCAAGACTGTGATGGTCATCGTACTTTACATGTACATGTGGAGCGTGAACAAGAAACGAGACCGCGAGGCCTCCATTACGGGCTCACATCTTACCGAGGAACAAGAGAAGGAGGCCATCGAAAAAGGCATGCTCGACATGACCGAGCTGGATAACAAAGGTTTCCGATATGTGCTATAGCCTCGGCGTCAATGTTGCGTGATTTCGAGCTGTACGTTGCTTGTGCAACAATGCTGCGGCGCTTGGACATTCACCTTCAGGGGTCGATGCTACGGGTATGGCCTAGAGGAAATATTTGACGCCTTACCACCTCAAGAGGAATACCTAATGCACGCCTGATATTGTCCCGTCGTTTCTCGATAGATTGCCCTTCGTGAAAGGCTGTAATGTGGGCGGCTTCCGCAGAAATGGAAGTGAGTGTCAGACTGACATTACTCCTTACTATCACCGATACATGGTGGAGTCTATGTTGGCATCCCACAGACCTGAAGCTCTCTTTGGGGGGATGGATTGATATACCGTCTCAATTTGGGTCCGTAGGATGTCTTGTCGAGGTTTAAATAGGGGTTCGGGATATTTCCATTAATAGGAGAGAGGTTAGGCGTGGTTAGAAGCTTGGACCACTTCAGGTTATCCGTGCGCGCCAACTCCAAAAAAGTCAGGACTGGCCAGGGACCTCTCCAGACTGCAGCTTCAATCCTCCACCAACCTCCAGTCAACATATTCAAGCTCGCAGCGATGCCTCCACGAATACCGGCCAGGCTGGCATCTCAGTGCTGCCAGGCTGCGATTGATTCGCCTGCACGTTCATCAATCGTCGGTCTATTTGCTGCGCTCTCCGTCCAGACCCGAAGCGCATCCATCCTCGCGAACCTGTCCGACAACCGGGGAGCGCATCAGAAGCGCATTCGTGTCGGTCGCGGTCCTTCTTCAGGAAAGGGAAAGACATCCGGAAGAGGTCACAAGGGTCAAAAGCAGCATGGACATGTCAAGCCGTGGTTCCAGGGTGGTCAGACACCATTGATCTTCCAGAAAGGACGCCTCGGATTCGAGAATTTGTACGACTGCACCCACCCACCACACAATACGCCCCCGATTACTCCAGCTAACACTCATGCAGCCGGGCAGACGTCTTGTCCGAAGTCAATCTCGACAAGCTCCAGGAATGGATTGACACGGGTCGAATCGATGCGACCAAGCAGATCACACCGAAGGAGCTTATACAGTCGAAGCTCGTTGGCACCGTCAAGGATGGAATCAAGCTACTCGCGAGGGGGGCCGACGGGTTGAAGCAGCCCGTCGACATCATCGTATCGCGAGCGTCGGCATCGGCAATCGATGCGGTGGAGAAGGCGGGCGGGAAGATCATCACCAGGTACTACACGAAGCAATCGATAAAGCGGCTGGTGCTGGGCAAGAGTGTCAACAGCGACGTGCCACTGCCGACAGGGCCAGAACACGTGGAGCCGGTGCTGGAAGCTGTCCGGCAGAAGGCGTTCACGTACCGGCTGCCGGATCCGACTTCTCGGTGGGATATCGAGTACTATCGAGACCCGGCACACAGGGGCTACATGAGCCACACGTTGCAGCCGGGCGAGTCGCCCAGTCTGTTCTTCAGGGTGCCGCCGGCACAGTTGGCCAAGCAGATGGAGAAGAAGAAGAAGGTTAAGCAGGAGGAGACGAAGCTTTGGGAGAAGCTATAGTGCTGACACTGACGTGGGCGCTCCCGACTGTTCAGACCTATGTACCAGACCCATGTACTACTACTACACTTGTGCTATAGAAATCTTCGAGTTCATTCTCTTCAGACTTGGACCTCAGAATACATTTCAGTACAGGACACCCAGTGGCGTCAACTGTGAGCCGATGGCTTATACCTGTCCCGCCTGGCTGCTTATCTGTGGTTGACCACAAGCCTACCATGTATTTCTCACGGACGGGTTGTTCAAGGTGTGCAGGCCTTATGTCAACCCCTTGGCTACCTAGGTACATATGTGTATAATGCTGTGGCTGTGTGGCTCGCCGGGGGTGGTGGCTAGTGTCTCACTGGGATGCATGTGGGCTCTAGCTGATCAGTGAGTGCCAACCTCAAGCTTGGAAGTGGGCGCGGGCAGCGGGCGGCGGGCGCAACTACCAACTGGTAGAGCTGTCGGTAAGGTAGAGCGAAGGAGCCTGGGAGCTTGCCGCCACCTTCATGGAATCACCACTGCAATTGACTTTCAACTTTGCAGTTCCTCCTCACGTCCCGTCGACCGTCATGCTGCTTCATCCATTCGTGTATAGTTCTGCTACCTGTTGCTGAAACCTGTACACACTGCCTTCAAGATCCTCCGAAATCGACATTACGAACACATTACGACACTTACTGCGACACCACCCGTTCCGCTCCTTCGCCTTCGTCTCGGCAGCCCACGACACTACAGCGAGGGTCTCACCTCTTCGCAGCAATGTCTCTCTTCGGTTCGTCGCCCCCGAACGCACCCTCCGTCATGGCCAAGTCTCGAAACTCGCTGTTCGACGAAGAAGACGGCCCCATGGCTCGGTCCACCTCGGCCACCCTATTCAACAACGACGACGCTGCATCACCGTGGGACATGCCGACACCGCGCAGGCAGCAGTCGCACGCCGATCTCCTGCGAGGCTTGCTGGCCGGCGCCGACGTACCCGACAGCTACTTCGAAGCTTTCGACAAGACCGTGGCCGAGTACGGCAGCGGTGGCAAGATCACCACCTCCGGGGTCACCAAGACACTGGCTGCCGCGGACCTGAGCGCTGACCGACAGGACCATATCCGGGCTATTTTTACAAGGGGCAGTGATGGAAGTGGCGAGCTGTCCATCGGTCGCGACGAATTCAACGTATTGCTAGCTCTTATCGGGCTTGCGCAGGACGGCGAGACGGTGAGCTTGGACGGCGTCGACGAGCGAAGACGCAGTAAGTTGCCTGTTGCCTTGCATTCCATACGAAAGTCAGCCTACAGAGAGCACTTATTCCTATCTGCCAATTGGCTCTGGACAAGTCGCAAGGCGTGTCACGCATAAATGGGCTTATCGTAGCTTCGTTGACCTGTCGGCCTGTGCATCAATCAATCATGCTGCGGGGACACTATTCGCTGATAGAGTAATAAAACAACAGACCTGCCGCAGCCCCGGTTATCGACCATCACGACCACCACTGCCACCACTGCCACCGCGACATTCCCCAACACAGCCGAGCTCGCCGCGAAGCCGCCACAGCAGCCCGATACCGCTTCAGCTTCAGCCCCTTCTCATCCCAAGCCGACGACAGCGAGGAAGCCATCGATGGACGGGCCCGAGGACGACCCCTGGAACACGCCCGGTGTTCACAGCGGCCACCACCACGGCCGCCCCGGACCAGCCAAGACCAATGGCAATGGCCACGGCCCTGCAGCTGCGAGTCCGCGTGCGAACGGCAACAGCTATGCCCACCTCGACGTCCCCGACATGCACTCCCGCACCACCTCCAACTTCATCACTTCGACCATGGCCTCGGTAGATGACGCATCCAACCCGCCGCAATCGGCAGCCTCTGCCGCGTCCAACTCGGGAGGCTGGAGTTACTTCGACGGAACCACCAACAATGTTGCTGGATTTGGCGAGACACCCCAGACCCAGCCGGCCAGTCCCTTTGGCGTTACCCCCAACGTGGGCCGCCATCCCAGTGCCGCCCCTACCGCCGGCCATTCTCGGACCATTAGTGGTGGCCGAACGGGCAGCGCGGTCGAGGAGAACATTACGGTCGCCCTGATGCCCGAGAAGGAGGGATTGTTCATGTTCCAACACCACAACTACGAAGTTAATAGTGCGAGACGCGGTAGTAAAGTCATTCGCAGATACAGCGACTTCGTGTGGCTGCTCGACTGCCTGCACAAGCGGTACCCGTTCCGCGTGCTGCCTCTGCTCCCGCCCAAGAAGATCGCCGTCAACGGCAACCACCTCTCCAACGATGGCGCCTTCATCGAGAAGCGGAGGCGTGGTCTCGCTCGCTTCTTGAATGCCGTCATACGGCACCCGGTTCTCGGCCAAGAACAGCTTGTGATAATGTTCCTGACTGTTCCCACAGTGAGTCTCGGCCGGCCTCGCTTCTCCTTCTCCTTCTCTGTTAACGCTGACCATGTCCAGGAACTCACGGTATGGCGCAAGCAAGCGGCCATCTCTGTCGTGGACGAGTTCGCCGGGCGGCCTCTACCACCCGGTCTCGAGGACTCGCTTCCGCCGGCTCTCGAAGAGCTCTTCGACCGCACCAAGCAAGGCGTCAAGCGATCGGCCGATCTCTACATTTCAACGTGCAGTCTCATGGATCGGCTGGTGAAGAGGAGTGAGGGCGTAGCAGCCGACCACGCGCGGCTGGCCCTGTCCCTTGCATCCATGACCGAGACTAGTTCGGACACGTACGCGACCGACACCAACGATGTCCCCCTGTTGAACGACGGCCTCGTTGCTATGAGCAATCACCTTCGGACCACACAGACGTTGATGGAGGATGAGAGCAAGGCGTGGGACGTTGGCGTGCTCGAGGACCTGAAGAGGCAGCGTGATGCGCTGGTCAGTGTCAGGGACATGTTTGACAGGCGTGAGAGGCTGGACAAGGACAACATCCCGTCGCTGGAACGGCGCATCCAGAACAACGAGACGAAGCTCGCCGGGCTGCGGAACAAGCCGGACGGGATGCTCAAGCCCGGCGAGATAGAGAAGGTTGTGGAGGCTATCATCAAGGTTCGTTTCGTCGTTTACTGGCAATGCACACAGTGACGGGCAACTCTAACAGTTCGATACAGGACAAGGAGTCGATCGTTAACCAGCACAACCGGTCGGTGTTTGTCAAGGAGTGCGTCCGCGACGAGCTCATGTACTTCCAGCAGACGCAGTACCACGTCAGCCGCTGGAACCAGGACTGGGCGCAGGAACGCGTCAAGTACGCCGAGATGCTGGCTGACAACTGGCGGCAGCTGCTTGACGAGCTCGAAGGCATGCCACTGGGCGACTAGAACTCGAAAGAAAGCAGGAATGTCCAAGCGCGTATCTGGAGCGGGTGTGCCCATCCAGCTGACGGGGGCTGGGGCCTGGCCAGGTGGGGATAGGACTGGATAGGCTAAGGTTCCAAGGGGCCGACTGTTTGAACATATGTATCATGGGCCTGGAAGACGGGAGTTCACAGCAGCATACCTACTCGGTTGCGGTTTCGAATACTCTGGTTTTTGGCGGGAGAAGATTATAAGCATGGCAGGAAGGAGCCTGAAGTTGTCACGATACCCTCCTGTCCTTCTAGTTGTTTCTATGCCGCCTTCGGTATGAATAAACATGCTGCCATCCTTGTTACCCCGATGTGTGCACCGCCAACCTACATGTAAGTGATGTCAACAGTCGTTGCCTGACTTGAAAAAGGGGTGGCCCCTGTGGCTGAAGCTCTCCCGAGTCCCGTGGCCCACCAGAGCAAGCAGCCACAACCTGGTTCATGCGATTGCCTTACACCCCCACCACGTTATGTACCTCCCCCCCTGCCACCTTCCATCAACCTGAGTTTACATGTAGCAAGGTCAACATTCACTTGTTCTTCCCGCCAAACACCCGGAGCTGAGCGTCTCTTCTCTACACTGTCATCGACGCCATTATTGTCTAGTATCCCCAGTTCCGCATCGCGCCGTTCACTCTGCCCCTGCCACGGCCTCAGGTACCCCGCCTCCTCCAACCAGGCTGCTGGGTACGCACGCTGCCTTGCGAACACACGAGACCACTATCTCGTCCTCTTGCGCGAACGAATTCCTCGTGCGGCCACCTGCTTCCTCGCCGCCGTGACTTCCCACCGACGGGCCGACCGACTCATACCACATCCCCATCACCGCCCAAGTCGACGACGCGATGCCTCCCCAATCGTCGGCTCAGAAGGCCGCTATTGCCAGCTTCGTCTCGATCACAGGAGCGTCAGAAAGAATCGCCACCAGAGTACGTTCTCAATGCCCAATACCTATCTATACCTACGTCGCCGTCTCCTCCTGCAATCCAGCTTGGGTGTGCACCAACGTGTGTTCTGGACGCTGCGAGTCTCGATCTCCCTCCGTACCTGAGACTCAGTTCGCGAGCTAACCAGCCCTACATCGCAGTTCCTTAAGAATGCCGCTTACAAGCTGGACGCAGCTATCGATACGTGAGTGGATGCTTTCCTCTCTTTCTATGGCTCGAGAAGGTTGTCCTGCGCCCACTATTCTGAAGTCGTCATATGACGGCCATATCGTCGCTGTCGGCGCACGTCGTCTTCTTTCGCCTTCCAAGGAATACCCGTCATCGCATACCCCGAGGCAGCCTGCTCCAGCTTCCCCCGATTCAGCCAACCTCCGCTTCCGGAACACGGAAATAAAGGCACGACAGATAGGCTCCACTTCTAGCAGGGTCCCGGCGTAAGGATGCAGGTTCCAGGGCGCACATTGATGGAGGGAAATGGAACGTCTCCTCTATCCGGCTTCCGGGACCGCTTCCACTGCGCTCCGTCATCTTGGGCAGAACTGAACTTCATACGCAAACTCCCGTTACGTCGACAGCAATCACCACTTAACAAACGCCATGACCAACCCAGATCTCGGTAGACTCGCCTGGTTTATATTGTGGCCGGCTTTGGCGTTGGGCTTGCTCTGGTGCGGTGCTTCTAACAACGCTCTTGGAGGCTCCGTGCGGCTCTCTCTAGGCCCATGCCAAACCTTTTTGGTTGAGAAGCCATGAGAGATTTACCTTCTTGAGCCGCAGCTTTGATGTATTGTGAACGATATCGAGCCTGCATTACTGACAGTTCTCTTCCAGGTACTTCCAGTCCACTGGTAGTAGTGGTGCCGGGAGCGCGTCTGTTGCAAATAAAGAAGCCCAGCTCACTAAGGCCTTTGATAGCCTGAGAAGTGTGTCAACGATCACTAGTCCTCTCACCGCTATGGATGTGCTGACCTGAAGGCTAGATGATAAGGAAGACACGAAAGACGTTCTCGGTGCGGATTCGTCTATGAAGTACCTGCAGTCACTTGGAGTCAATATCGAAGACGCATCGCTTTTCATCGCCATGGAGCTGTTTCAGGCGCCCAGCATTGGTGAAATTCCGCGAGCTGGTTTCGTCAACGGCTGGAAAGAAGCTGGGTAAGTCCTCGGTTGCAGTAAGAATTGCGGGCTTTCCCGATTTTCACGAAGCTCTTGTCACGGTTCCTGGCATCTTGAAGACCGTTCTGGGTCGATGATTGTCTTGGCAGTTGGAATCACGAGACATGGCCACGAACCAGACGCTTCTGCTGCTTGTACCGTGAGCTGACCAATCATAGGGTCGATGCCAAACCAGAAGCCCAAAAGGCGCACTTCCGGCGCCTCATTGCCTCGATGCCCAAAGATCGCGAGCTCTTCCGCAAAGTCTACCGTTATACCTTCGTCGTTGGCAAGGAAGGAGACCAACGATCTCTGACCCTAGATAACTCCATCATCTACTGGGACATGCTCTTCAAGGAGCCCGGCCAAGCCTGGGTGGGACAGTCTGGCACCAAGTGGCTGGACGAGTGGTCAACTTTCTTGCGTGAGAACTGGGAGCGCTCGGTCAACCGCGACATGTGGAACCAGACGTTGGAGTTTGCCTTGAAGAGCATCGAGGATGAATCGCTCGGCTTCTGGAACGAAGACGGTGCCTGGCCCGGCGTCATAGACGACTTTGTCGCGTGGTACAAGCGAAAGTCGGAGATGGACGTTGACGCTTAGCAAGCTGTCGACGAGGTGAAGGATACAACATACGAGAGCGAGGAGCTAGGTACGTTCCTTGTGATAGACCCTCATTCCGCGGACGCAATAGATGGACCCTTATTCCACGGCCGGAATGGCCGTTAACCACATCAATCCCTCGGCGTATTCAAAGATACACGAACACACCCCCTTTCGCCTGGATCACTGGTGTCATGAGAGATGCCCGTACAAGTTACAGATGACTGGAACTCCGGAGATACGGCAGAACACCAGAGATTCACTGTAGGCTGGCTGGATGTGCTACCATCTGCGCTTCTCTTCGCCATGTCCCTGAGGTCAAATGCGACAATGAACATAGAGGGCCCTGCCTGATCAGTAACGAGGAAGGGGATGAGACATGAGTAGATGGCACTTGAACCCCGAACCCCGGGCAGACGTTATTGCTAGACAAATACAGCTTTGCGCTTTTGAGTGCGTCTGAGTTTCTGTTATCTGACCCACGGCTGGGTTGCTTTTGTTCAGGCTCATGGCCGGACGAGTCCGTTTGTCAGCCGACGGACGGCCTATTCCCAGAACCTTTTCGGACGATACCGCAGTCATCAATACGTGCTTTCGTATGGTGAGGCATGCCCAAGCACGTTAAGCTATACCTAGCCGAGCAGACCCGTTCTAGCACGTGGGCAAGGAGATCGTACCGGCCGTTGCTGCATGGATACTGGCCAAGCCAAGGTATACCAGCTTTGTCACATGGCTTGCGATAGATAGGCGACAGGCGCTGGTGGCCTGCAAGCATATGTACAGAAGACGAGCGATTTATACACTACCCACTGTAATGGGTTCCTATATACACAGTACACTACTATACAATCTGAGCGGAGGTCCCAGCCGTCTCCTCTCGCCCCCGGAGTCGCCTTGTCGTATCGTGCTATCAACCGTACAGCGCAGCACCATGGGAGGAGTCGGAGGCGGCGGGCGCTTATCGCATAGAGATCATCATCGTGTTATGGTACAGTGATTTGTGTGCCCGTGTGCCAGTAGGAATAGTAGACCAGCTGGTTGGCATCCCGTTACTCCTGGCTGCCTGCCAATTTTGGTTCCGTGTGCAATCCGTTGAGCAGTTCGTGCTGTCGGTATAGACAGCGTTGCGTCTTTTATTCAGCCATGAATCAACTCCCATGATTCATCAATGACCGATCCATGGTCCCTCTGTGATCTCTTCCTATATCCACAAGGGGAGAAGCCATGTCATCCATCTCTTTCCTGACATCTCGGCCATTTCCCTCACCTCCACCATGCCCATTCTCCGCCTCACCCCCTTTACACCAGCAAGGTGCGATACTATCCTTACCGAGACCAGTCAACGCCCCCGAACCGGCTCATGGTCCCCAGCTTGCCGTCGCCCAGCTTGACACTGGCGTGGCGGATCATGCGCGGGTCGAGCCGCAACATGTTCCGCACAGCCTCTTGCGTACCGACGCTCGCGTCAAAGCGCATGGCAAAGTAGTGGCCCTTCTGGTGGCGCATCTGGTGCACGCTGACGGCCTTTGGCAGGGAGAAGACGCCCCAGTTCGAGAGACCCCGTATCACGCCATTTTGTTGCAGGATCAGCTGACCGGCTGTGAGGACGATTCTGGATTCGTGTTAGTTCGCGAGGCTCCTTAGAACACTCAAGGCAGATCTGGAGGATATGAGGTGCTGAACAGGGAGCTGCGAGGACATGCGAGAGGAGACGTGAGGCTTGGCTAGCAGATGCTGGTGCGTGTGCACATCAATATGACGATGTGGTGTCATTGTGGACAGTGCCGTCGACCATGTTACACGACATGCATCTAGCACCTTGGTGCAACATGGCGGGTATGTGTCCCAGCTTGCTGTTTCTCGCGGGCGGTAAAGGAAAGAGAGAACGTACTCCTTGACCTCGCCGAGGTTGCCCGACGGCCGGACCTGTTCCGAGGGGTTTACCGTCAGTAAGAGGCTATCTTATATATCTTGGATAGAAAGCAGACTCACGATTCCAATGAGTTCGTACAGCATCCTGGTGGTCGATGTATTGGATTCGGGCTTCCTGCCCCTTTGCGGGCGATGGGCGTGGATGGGAGGGCGGTTTCGCTTGCGCCAAAGGCTGACTGGCTGAGTGACTGACTGGCGATTCGGCGTTCGTAGTCGGCTGCTGGATGGAGGATTCGACAGGGGCAGCGTGCTCGATCTTCGGCGTCCGGACTGCAGTGGAAAGTGTTGCCGAAGCTGTACTGCAATGGCGATGGTGTTGGCGATGGCGACGTCAGGTATCCTCACGTCGCGATTGGGAAATTTCCACTCGATGCCCGGGCCGGGGTTGGATTGCAGGGTGGATCCACAAGACGGAGGACGGTATCCCAACTTTTCCGTGGTGGGTTGTGCCGAAGTTTTATCGTGGTGGGTCTCTTATCGGTACCTACCACTTAAACAGTACCGTAAACTTAAAAAGGAGGATGAGTTCACGTGACCCTTGTTCAGCTGCCCCGGCCTCTTGAAACCCCCCTTCCAGCGCTCATCGGTCTTCGGCTTCCATTGGCCCCCCCTTGGCAGCTCCTGCAGATATAGTAAGGTATGTACGCACGGCAGGTCGGCACGATCAACAGGGGTGTCTCTCTCGGGAGTGCATGTACCTTGGTGTATGTATCTTTAGCAGCTTGTTTACATGGTTCAATATCTACTAGTACTGTACGCGCGGGATTCGCATCCCCTCTTTTGATGGATGGGTCTGAATAGGCGGCCAGAATGCTAATAATAAAAGCAAGGCGAGGGAGCACTGCACTTACCTGGACTACTATACATAGAGTGGAGTGGAGGGCGGCCATCGTCATGATCATGTACCGAGTGGCCGCTACCCAGCTCCTGTATACTACCTATAATGTACTATCAATCTGCATACTTATTATCGCAGTGTTGGAACGCCGTGATCGATGCTGCCGTTGGGGTCTTTGTCCACTTCCGGTGGACCGGCAATTGCCGGATGACTTCGCTGCGTATGGTGGGAGCTATCTGATCCGTGTGATTGTGTGTGGTGCGTGGAAAAGATCTTCGCGAGATTCCCGTGCGAGGATCCGTCATTATATAGGGCTCTCGTGACTCACACGAAGGTTTCGCTAGTGGCGTTAAGGTTGAGGGAGAAAACGAACGGAGTTTAGCCATGAGCCACTAAAAAAAAACCATTGTTTATTTGCTCAAGGTTGTGGCAGAGCCTGGATTGATTCCACAACATCGATATCATCTCAGTCTGCTGGGTTGGGAACACGAAGTCTGCATGCTTATGCTCCCATGTGTGAGGTTATTGCCGGATGGTCGGTCGGTAACCGTGTGGGGGTTCTGGCGGCATGGGCAGCTGTTGGGAACCATTGCTATGAGACCTCTCACTTGCTCATGACAGCACACTTGGGACAATCACACGAGGCCAAGTCCAGGGGGGGAAGTCTCGGCCTATACCTAGGTGTCAACTCCGTTTTGTTCCTGCTCTACAGTAGGTCTAGCTATTGTACAGTGTGTAGTAGAAATTAGTAGTCAAGGCGCAGGTACGTGCATTCCCGAGGTCCTCCATGATATCGGATGCCGTCGTACCGCACCAGCACCATCTGCTAAGCCTTGCTTCTCTCAGCACGCATAAAGTACTGCAAGTTGTGCGTGCCAAGTTGTTGCATGACGTTGGATCCTAGGCAGTATCGTCATATCAAACGTCTTGATTCCATCATTAGTGGTCGTGTCCATGAGATTTCCATGGCTATGCGGCCACAAAGTGGTGTTTTTCCATCCACCCACACTGCTCGCACTAGAAACCGAAGATGAGTGAAAGAAACAACGCCGAAGTTTTGGTGGTCATCCTATACTGTGACCAGTCCGAGAACAATCCGTCGCGCGGATGAGAGTCCATCACGTCTGTTGTAAGTGCCTATGGCACGGTAGATGTTGGACTTGGTCGAGACTTGTAATTACCCGCGGGCTGCACGTTTCGTCGAACTGACGTTTTGCCGCCTACGCCCATGTGATGCTGAACATCGCAAATGTCGCGTGACGAAATCTACCCACAATGACCGACTGGTCCCGTCTATCCGAGGTATCTTTAGAGGGCCGAGACCCAAGGAGATGAACGCCGAGGGGGGGACGAGGGTAAGGAAAGTGATCATGCAAAGCCATGAAGCCACCAACTCCAGTGAAAAGCAAGTTCGGGACAAGACGACACGGTGATCCCGCGGGGCTTGAGTAGACGAGCTGGCTGCGCCGAGAAATGCGGTGGCATGCACTCTCTTGAGCCCCTTTTTTCCCCAGCAGGGAATGGAGTAGTCCAGCAGGGAGTCTTCTACTCTTCCGACTGGCCGTTGGGCATCATCTGAGACTCGAGCGAATCCCAGGCTTCCTCGATCTGCGCACTGGATAATGTGTTAGCTTCACGACATCCCATGGACATTGCAACTGAACCAGCTCTGCCTTGTATTGTATCTTTGTATTTTAGGGCATTTGGGTATGGGTCTTCCCTTAGGGTCCCAGAGCTTGATAAAACTTACGCGGTACTCTGAACAAGTTTGACGCCCTTCTTCTTCCCAAAGGAAAGGAAGCGCCTCTTGGTTCGTTCACGCTTGAAGAAAGCAAGCATACTGCCACGCTTCTCGTCCGACAGGACCACGTTGATCTTCTGGCACTCGAGTGCGTACTGGATCTCGATGATCTCATCGAGGGTCATGTCAAAGTTGACCGGCTTCTGATAGATGCCCCATGTCACCTTGGGGTGCACGTCGCGGAGGACCTGGTGCTCGAATTTGTTCTTGTCCTGCTTCCAAGTCCAGTACTGTGTGACCGCGTTCCTGGTTGTCAGCTCTCGTGACTTGATCTGATATACTCGCCAGTCAAGGTGCATAATTCGCCCGGCCGAGAATGAGTCCGTCGAGGTGTAGCCCGAATACGAGAGGTCATCATCTGGGTCCTCCTTCGAGGGAGTCGGCTCGAGACGCTGGCGTTTCTGTAGGCGGGGCGTGACAGGCTCCAGGTACTCGGGCGGTGGTCCCTGGAGACCTGGCTGTTGTTGTTGTTGTTGCTGCTGCTGCTGGAGGTGGTGGTGGTGCTGGTGCAGGTTCGGCCTGTCTTCCGGATCCACCTGTCCGATAGATCGGCGTCCCTTGCGACGGACCGTTCCTCCCGTACCATCCGACTCTCTCTTGATCTTAGTCTTGGTCTTGGTCTTGTTTCTCGTGGGGTCTTTTTCGCCAAGCTTGTAGCCCGAAGGACGTCCGATGTTGCCGAACCCATGCTTCTCTCTCAGGTACTTCAACTTTGCGTCGTGGTACAAGTCATGGGTCATCTTGGACAGGTTGAATTTGTCCCCCTGGGCCATGGCGATCTCGTACATGCGATGTCGTAGCCATTCGAGAGGTGTGATTCCGAGGTCAAACTTCTTCAGTTCCTCGTGCACGTTAACCAGGCGGAACATGGTGTCGTAGTTGATGAAGGTCTTGTAGAACTTGGCCATCATGTCCTTGCCCACAAACTGGAAAGGGTGAAACGGCTCATCCTTGAGGAAGTCTATGACAGCCTGGCCTCGATTGACTTGCCGGTTAGCAAGGAATACGGTATGGCGCACGGCTTCGGGGTTTCGGCGGAGTCCCTCCAACCTTTCCTTCCACTTGTCAAGCTGGGGCTGGATGATGGACTCGACAGTCTCCCACTCGGGATTCCAGTACGGGTGCTTCTCATCGATTTTCTCCAGAGGCGCTCCGGCGAACATGGGAGGCTCCGTGATGACCGAGCCATTTTCCTTGAGGACCAGGTTTTCGCGCGTGATTTCCTCCAGGCTGTTCCCGTTGGTCTCTGGCGCTGGACTGTCCGTGGGAGGGACAGAACCCTTTCCATTCGGCAGGGACTTTCGGGCGGACGGCGACTTCGTCTTGGCTTCCGGGGGCACCTCGGGAACCGGTCGGCCTGTTGGCGAGCGGACAATGGCGGAGAAGCTTGGTAAGCTGTGCCGTTCCTGCTTGGGCTTCAAGGGCCTGTCGATATAACGAGAGGCAAATGCAGGGACGGCGTCTAGCTCGGGAGGTGTGCCGTGGGAAGACGTGCTGGGCCGAGATCGATTCGCGCTATGTCGTAGAGGCATAGCTCGAGAGGTCGGTGAGTCGTTCTCCTCTACGGGGTTGTGGTAGATACTGCTGAGCAGGTTTCCAGGGTCGGCGGGAGGGTCCACCTGGTCATCTCGGCGGCTCCGTCGTCGCGGACCGCCGTTGATGCTCGTCCACCCACCGCCGGCTTCGGCATCGGCAGGCATGGGCGGTGGCATGCCTCGACTCGGCAGGTGGCCGTTGCTCTCGGGAGGCGTGTTCGCCTTGGTGGCAGCGCTGCTCTCGCGAGCATGTGCGAACCACGCTGCGTGCGAGCGATCCTCTTCCTGACGTTCCGATAGCAGACGAGCTCGGTTGGCGTCCTGTTCATGGGACAGATGTTCCTGCAGGGCCTCGTAGGATTGGATGCCAGACTGGACGGACAGCAGCTCATTCTCGAGCTGGTGCTTACGGTCGTACAGCTTTGCAAGCTCACGTCTATACTCGTCTTGGCGTTGGTTGTAGTCGTAGGTCAGGCTGTCATCCTCGCGGTCTCGCTTAATCTTGGTGTTCTGCCAGTGGTTGGACTCCATCACGCCCAAGTGGTCCTCTCCCGCCCGCCCTGTGGTGTCATTTTTGCCCGACATGGGCTCCAGGGCGTCAATCTGGAGCATCGGTAGGTACGCTAATGGCAGTGTCAGAATAAGGAACCCCAGGGTGTTGCGCATAGCTTGGGGGAATAAATAAATAAATAATAATAAAAATCCTTTTCCGTCACTGCTCAGTTGATGAGTAAGGGAGGGGGATGGGAAATGAAGAATACAAGTGCTTCTGTTGAAGTAGACATATTGAAGGTTGAAGATGTTGTAGCCTTATTAATAGACGAAATAGAGTTTGGGTATATGACAGCTGCGTAAGTTGAGAGGGTTTAAAGAAGGCTCGAATTGCTATGGGGTTGAAGGGAAATGAATAAAAAGGAAATTGTGCGCAGTGTCGAAATGGGAGCAGATGGCGAAGAAGACGTAGAAAAAAAGACTTTCAGAGATAACAAGATAGGCGCGAGGGGGTAAATGTGGCGCAGGTACGTACGGATAGAGTTCTCCAGACTGTTGGGTATGCGCCGTTCGGGTGCCACGAAAAACGGCGTCCTCATAAGACCGACGGAGCGAGTGAGAACTTGGAAGTCAAGGCGTCGCCGATATGGTGTTGTAAAGTTGCGTGGCGTGTCGTCTGGTACCTGCCCGTGTGCCACGTTGATGGGGAAGGAGAGGTGGTGGTTATACGCAAGGGAGTGCGAGACTGCGAGACTGCGAGTAGGCAGGTAGAAATAGTGGTAGTGGTAGTCGGACCAAGCTGCCAAGTAGGAACTCCGGTAGTGAAGTAGGGACTCGGGTGGTGGTGATGCACTGACCGACTAGAAAAAAGAATGAGTATTAGTGCATCCTAGTCAGTGGTGCGAGTAGCGCAGCGCAGGTGGCAGTATGTGGTAACTCGTAAGACCAGTCGCAGACCATAGAAGGACAGCAGTAATTGGGGAGTAAAATTGGGATTGGAATGGGTATAGGGCGAGGCGAGGGAGGACAGCGGAGGGAGGACCCTGTTTAAGTCACGAATAATAATAGGACAAGCGTGTAGGAAGTAGAGAAGTAGAGACGTGTACCGGTAGAAGTGACTAACCGGATCGTCGAGAGACTTAAAGCCGCTCCTTGTTCCCCAGCGACGGAGACAGGAGACAGGAGACAGGAGACAGGGCTGCAGCTGGGGCTGCCTGGAGTCCTGGACGCAGTCAGCATTGAACGAGAACGAACAGGTGATATGCGAAATGGGAATGGGAATGGGAATGGGCATGGGAATTGAGGGGACAGGGGGGGGGACAGGGGGAATGGGCGTACCTATTGCCTGAGTAGGAGCTGTTATAGTCGTCGTCGACGTGCATGAAAATACTCAAACGTGCGGCAGGGCTGGCCTGGCCTGCTTGCATAGGGGAGGTGAGTGAACTGATGATTGAATGTTGAATGGGTGATGGGAAGGGATCGCCGGGGGTGGATTGGACGACGGGAGTCGGATGGCTGGATGGCTGAGGTGCACTGCAGCCAACTGATGACTGCCTGCCTCGCGTTCGTGTACGGTATTACCGGTAGGGGTAATAGATGAGTGTGACTTGAATGACTTGAATGACTTGAACGACCTCGAGGGCTCGAGATGCAAAATCGGGGGCGGGTCGGGTGCATAGGTAATGTAAGGTAGGTAGTATGCGGGTACGTACCTTTTATACTCTCCCTAGGTAGTACCGGTAGATCCTCTTATGTATAGGTATGTACCGTGGTCCGTAAGGTAGGTAGGACGGGAACGTGGGTCAGTCTGGACTCTCTCTGCATGTGCCGCCACAGGAGGAACACCGAGTCGGGTCGAGTGGGCAGAGACGGGCAGACGGGCAGACGGGCAGAATCCTCTCTTGTGGTGTTTGATCATATGCAGTTGGCGCCTGCGCCTCGAGGGTGAGGGTGATCAGTGATTCTCAGATTCTCAGATTCTAGGCTGGGAAGGTGAGCGCTGCAGGTCACAGGTGATGATGACCTGACCTGATGGTTCCAGGGCTGCACTTTAGAAAGAATCGAACAAAAAAAGCTGAAACGGCGTGTGATGACGCGCCAGACTAATTAGCTTCAGCTCTGTACTTTTAGGTGGTATTCATTCCGGTGCAAGCGGTGCAGTGCAATTGGTGCAAGCTATCTGCCCAGGTGCTATTGGATTAGGGATTGGGTACCTTGTCTCGTGGGCTCAATTATACGGGACCCGGATATAATAACAACGTCGGGGCCAGTCCACTCGGGCTATCAGCCTATCACTGAGGTGATCAGTCTATTAGTGCGCCCTTTTTAGCTACACAAGTTCCGACTTTCCGACCGGGTATACCTACTACCGTATAGCAAGCCCCGCCCCACGTCCATATCGAAACTTCTTCCCTTATCCTATACCCACTTCCACATGTATGTATACATCATGCGTACGGTATGTCTTTCTGGGGTTACACAAAAGCTCCCCGGCTCGGGTGAGAATAGGACATGGAGGTAGGGATCATGTGCGTTCCAAGTTGGGAGAGTCAGGTCAGAGGCGGTGCTATTATTGCTGACCATTGTAATTGGCGCAACATGACACTATTCCTCCAACACCTCCAAGGACCAACAGGCTCCAAGCCTCCAAGGGGCGCATACGGGGCGTGGGTAAGATTGATATTTAGGTATCATACATAGTACAAGTATATCATGTGTACGCATATCATCAGGCAACCTCCACCCCTCAGTCTTGGTCGGTCGGTCGCCACCAATTTGCATTTCCACCTTCAACCGAATCAAAGTTAAATACTAGGTAGGTAATAAGTAGTCTGTCTACCTATACCTGATAAAACGTGAATGGCTGAATCGAGACGCATCGTGATTGGCGCGCCGCCGCCATCAGCGTTTCTTCTGCGACGAAACCGTGTAATTCCTCAGCCTCAGGGGGTGAGGCGGGTACTTGACAGGTGACATGCGATGTTGGTTGGATCGATACTGGCTCCGTCTACGTCGGCGTGGAAGAGGCGTAACAATTATGAGGACGCTGAACCTTGGAAGCCACTTGCGGTTTTATCTAACTATTATACCACAGTCCACCGATATGGCACGGTGCGGCTTGCAAGGGTCGAATGCCGCGCGTGTGGTATAGGGGGCGGTGGGGGTGCGCGGCGTACCGTATCAGGATTCTGGTGTCATCATGCTCGCAAGAACTTACCACGTAATGAACAAGCCGGTCATGCTGTGATGATGATGATGACGGTGATCAATCATGAATGTACCTGCACACAGTAGAGTTCCGCATTAGGCAAGATTGCTTTGCCTGTCTGGTATTAATAATATTAGTAGCTGGCTCAGCGGCGACGAATCATAACTTCTCCGACTCGAATGCCACATCACTCACATCTGGGCATCTGGGCTTCTGTGCGATAGGAGTGCAGGGGTCGGCCGGGTACCCCTTTTGCGAGCGGGCACCACCTCCATGTACGACCGATAGTGGCACAAACGTCCACTGGATGACATATTAGTGGTTCGATAGGTAGGTATAGTCGATACCGAGGCCATCTTGGGCAAGAGGGAGCGACAACGATCTCTTTTCACTGGATTGATCCCATACGACTCGACAGGAATTAATCATAACACTGCCTGCCTGGCCGGAAGGTAAGCGTCAGCGGCAATTGAGCCACAGACTACAGTGCAAGAGCAGGGGATCACAAGATTCCAATTAAGAAGAACCTCCATGTCATTAAGCCGTGTGACCCGCAGCACTATACTTCATGCCAAGCCGTTCAGATTTTTCTTTATTTGTGTTCAGAGTTTGCTAATGTTGCCAAACTCTGCCGTCGCCGAGTATATTTGGTCCACTTGGACACTACATAATAAGCGGAGCACTTGTATCATATCATCCTCAGACAAATATAGCCATTTCACTGCCCATGCGCGGAGGAGCTCCGAGCAACCTGATTGTGAGGACCCATTACCCATTATGCGTATACCGCATTCAGGAATATATTGCGATACTGCAACGCATCGGCCCCTCCTATTCGTACCACCGACGTACCAGTACCTCTCATCATCGACAGCCTCTACGACGGGTGGGACAGGCCATGCTGACACACGAATGACACTGCAAGTATAACAAGGAAGGGTGCAATGCAGAGAGAACGACGCTGAGGTCAACAGCAACGGAATTCTATACAGCTCTCACCAATGTACAAGTCTACAAGCTTCACCACCCCTTCCCTTCTCCGATCGCAGCAACCTGCCCAGCGCTCGCCCAATCGAGATAACCCGGCTCCATGCCTATGCTTCACCAGTATTGGGGCTTGACGTAGTCGGCGAAGGTCTTGGGCTCCTCATAGCCGTGGTGGCCGTGGTGGTCGTGGTGGCCGTGGCCATCGTCCTGGGGTCCGACGTACTCCATCTTGTAGGTACTGCCACACTCGGGGCATCGCTCCATCGGTCGCTCGCGGGACATCTGCGAGCACACCATGTCAGCCACGTGAGATGCTGGATATCAGGGGCAAGGGGGGCGACGTACGCCTAGCCAATGGACGACGTGGGAGTCGGCGGGGGATCCGGTGCAGCCAGCATACTGCTCGTCACCGGCAGACTTGACCATAATGGGGTTTTCGGGGGTTCCTAACCCAGCAGTCAGCCCAGTTTCAGACGCATTCGCCGTAGTCGTTCTCGTAGGTCAAGCAACCGCACCTTTCCGCGATGAGTCTAGGGGGCGCATGTCGAAGATGTCCACACCCTCCATCTTTCCGAGGATCTCCAATCGCTCCAGACCTGTCGACTGGTCAAGGTCGGTAGGGACGGTTCCGGGGGCAGCACCGGGTCCGATGAGGTCGTCTTCGCTCTTGATGTCTGTTGTGTGAAGAAAAACCGGTCAATAGGCAAGGCCACGCATCCATCCAGCTGCGTGCTGGACTCGGACTCAATTGGGGCCGGGAAAACTCGTACCGGCGAAGTTCTTCATCTTCTGGCCGATGCTCGCATGTGGCTCGACATTCTTCGCGTCTCCTGTGTTGCGCTGAGTTAGCTCTGGGTAAGCGCTGGAGACCGGGGCCCGAGCATCGTACGATGCCCATGGTCGGTCGGGACGGGCAGGCAGCCTTACGACGAATGGCGGAAGCAGTCAGGCTACGACGGACGATGGGAGAGACGGCGGCGCGGCGGGCCACGGCCACGGCGGAGCGTTGCAGAAACATATTGGCAGGCAATTGAGGTGGTATGCAGAGGGTGCGATTCGTGACGCAGTGAGGAGGGTTGAAACTTGGGAGAGGGAATTGGGGTCGCTTTGATTTGACGATGCACCCAGGCGTGGAAGTGGAATCCGAATCGCCTGATCCCCAGCTGGCATTGAAGGTCCTTTCCTAATTCGGGAACTTTGCCGAAGAAACTCCGTCCACATGCACCCACCTGCGCCGCCTCACGTGACTTCAAGCCTCATCGTGGCTTACCTGCTTACTAGCCATGAGCACCGACCATTAATGTGTGCACCATCATCACGGCAAACTTGAATCACTCAACGAGACGCCCCAGACACCGGATCTTATGGGTTGCCCAGGCGGGTAGGGTACGGGAAGGCTTCATGAATGCGCAGTCAGGAGACTGCATGGGAGGTCATCCCTGCTGGCTCTTAGACGAAAGGAACACATTCATCTCGCACCTCGTCGGAAACAACTGGAGTCATGCATGGGGCTTACATGCTTACAGGCTTACAGACTTGCACCCATAACCGTGGCAGCCCATGGGTAGCCAGTACGAGCACCTGTGATCTAGTCAGAGTGAACGATCCTCTGGCTGGTATGACACCACCTCAGCCTCCTTGCGGAAAGGTTCCTTTGGGGTACAGAGATGCGGCCGCTGTCTTTGCTTCTGGCTGTATCTCTCAGTTCTCATGAGACCACCAACCTGAATGATGACTGAAGTTCGTACCTTCAGCCATGACTTCAGCCGTCGTCATTCAATAAGCACAACTTCGGCAATGAAGGAACGTCTTTCGAACCAGCCCCCTACATCCACTGCCCTGATATGGTTCACCCATAGCTCTTATCCAAGGGAAATGTTAAGGCCCTTCGAAGCTACTTTACACCGTGCGCGTGCCTGGCAAATATCGAGGCTCAACTGAGGGGATCTTCTGAGGCCGCAGAAGCCATGTGTCTTGCTCACCTGTCTGGGCTCCCTGAGATGATGACAAAGCTCAGAATGTCCGAGCTGAATCTATTGGATGACCAGAAGCTGACTTCGGGGAACCACATACCAGAATTCAACGCCCCGAGACTCACTACCACCATAGTCTGATAATGGACGCTTTCGCTGCTGTTGGACCTCCTGTCGTTCAACTTCTTCCATGATATCTCTCCACTTACACTCATTTATTAATTCAGGGTGTAAATTAGTGCAGTCTCTGCGCGCCTTCTACGACCGGCGAGGGGATATCATGGGCGAGGCTGGATCCAATCCTTGCACGTCAAAGCTTACTGTCATAGAACTCAGTCGTCCGTGAACACCGCCTTCCCTAAGGGGCCACGAGTCGGAGCAATGACCTGGGTCGAGAGTCAGATGGCTGGAGCGTTGGCTATCTGAGAATATCCCTCTGATTGGCAGCGTTTGATTTGCTGGTGTCTGTGCAGCCTTGCCAGCACCGAATGCACGAAAACAAGGCAAGTCAAGACGTAAGGAGTGTTTTCCGCAGGCTTGGGTTCATACTAGGTCGGCCAAGAGCTCCACTAGGTCTCAGATGATTTATTTTCAAACGTTGTAACTATGTTCTTCGTGAGGCGGCGCTTGATAGCAACCCGAAACTACAGAAGCAAAGACTGTACATGAATGTCCAGGTTGTAGCGAGATACCACGGTCCATAATAAGTCTGAAGACCTGGCCTGGTGATTAGGCCGCTTCAAGCACAAGTGCATGAAACCTCCTATCTCGTAAGCAAACGCCTTCAAGCTTCCATCTGTGCTTCCGCCTTCCGCATCTCGAACGCCAAGTGAATCGCTTGCTCCTGCGCAAGGTCCGTGTAGTCCAAGTCGATATCGCCGCACCTCCTGACGCGGGCCTCGTCCTCGCTGACCCACGAAAACTTCTGGTGCTCATTGTCATCGAGCTTCACATGGTAGCCCTCAACGCTCACCATGAACGAGAACTTGCGCATTTGCAGGTTGCGGCGCTTTGTCGTGAAGCGATCGTCGACCGCGATGGCCTTGCCGACCGCGGTTGCGCGTAGCCCGCTCTCCTCCCACAGTTCACGCACGACGGCGTGCAGCAGCGACCCGTCCTCGAAATCGGAGGCGCCGCCGGGCACCTCCCATTTCTCGGGCATTGAGTCGTGCACTGCGCGCTGGACCAACAGGAGCTTTCCCTCGGGGTTGAAGACAAATGCGCTGACGGCGATCCCGTCAAGAGTGATCCCTTCAGGTTCTGGGTGCGCATCTAGGTAGGCCCGCAAGGTCTGTTTGAAGGCTGCTATCGAGGGGTCCGTGGTGAAGGTTGTGGGAGCTGCGGGCACCGCGCCGGGTGTCGCGTCCGCGACTGGCTGAGCTGCTCCTGACATGTTGCGCTCTGCTGGTATGACTCGTGGTGTCTGGGGGCTGTAGGAGATGTGAGCAGCGCTTCTTCGTTTGAGACTGGAGATCTGACTGGTTCGCTAACGTGTACAGTTCTGGCCTGGAGCACGGATGCGGACGAGGTGAAGGAAGAATGACCTTCCTAGCAGAGCTACACTCGTGGGCCAAGTTGCAGGACAGGCTACTTCTGTGCGGGTGGAAAGCCGAGAGAAGCCGGACGGGACGTATAGATGGGAAGCTGTCGTGGCCCGTGGGGCATCCGCGTTTGGTGTTTTTGGAGCAGGTAACTTACCTCAGCGCTCGGCCACAGTCGGCTCGACTCTGTACTTAAGTATAATCTGGGTTGTTGGACCTACATAGTAAATTAATACATGTAGTAAGCCGCAAACCCCAAAACCCCACCCAGGCAGACAGGTTGAGATTCAGATGTGACATGTCGGATCGGGGGCTGGCACGATCTCTCTCATCTTTCCGCCCAGACGTCTCTTTTGTTCGAGATACCAGCAGAATGCTATGGTGTGTCGCATTTCATCGAGACGGTGTATGCTGAAAGACGACGAGGCATTGGTCATCTCTACCTTTTCTGTGCTTTGTAAACCCGAAGAGCCGTCCCCCCCTGTCCCCGACCACTATGGCACTGACGAGCCCGGGCCTTTAGTTGCCCGCTCCGGCACGGACCGACGCCGGCAGGTGCGTGACCGTCACGAGGTTTCGAGGTTCGAAGGAGACTCCAGAGTCCAGACGTACACCTTTGGGTTGGGATTCGCCGTCTTCTGACCAGCCCCAGCCGGGAGGCCAACCTAAGGCTTCAGGAGCTGTACAGACCCGTTCATTCTACAAAGTACCGGTGAAAGCACGACAAACGAAGCTCAAGAATACCTCCACCACAATTCACCTTCACCTGACACCACCGCCAGCGAAGTCCACATCGGGTGCTTGGCTAGTGTCATTAGCAGCCTCTGTATCGGCTGGGACCGCTGGGCCGCTGCATACGACCAAGTCGAAACACCGGAAACATGATCGGCCAGGCCTGGGCAGAGGCCGTGTAGGTAGCCGGCAGCCGTGCAGCCCGTGTCGTTGAGGTTAGTAGATGCTACTCGGGGCTAGATGCTACCTACCGTAGACAGCCGTGCCGGATCCTTTTTGCTTGCCCGCGTCTATTTGGTGTCTCCATTGCATCTCCTTTTAGTTTTCTTGACAAGTCTTGTCGTTGTAGTTGCTTCCGAGCAATCATATCAGTTGCTCGTTTCTATCATTCTATCATTTCTATCGTCATCGTCACTTCTGTCATTTCCGTAATTACTTTTGTTGAGGCAAACAGTGGCAGTGCCTTGGTTCCCTTCGTCGTCGTCGTCGACTCTCTTCTGCTGCTCCGGCCTGAACCCTCTCTCTTCCGCCGCTCGTTACCCAGGTCGGTCGCCTCCGGACTGCTTTCTTGTCTATCAGAAAGCTGTTGGAACACAGGTCAACAACGTCTGGTTCAAGGTCGATATCCTTGCGTACCGTTGCTACTGCCGTGCGTCCATGCCGACGTCCGTGCAGTCGTGGTCAAGTTTTCGCGCCCTGGCGCCTCGCAGGCATGCATTTGCGCGAGCTTCTCGTCCACCTTGCCATAGCCGCAGTCTGTGACGCCTCATCTCGATATGTCAAGCTGCCAGTCGTCCATTCTATAAATCGGAAAGTCTTTGGGGATGTCTGGGATAAGCGGGCGATGACGACGGTGCCTCTGGCAAACAGGTCAGATGTAGCCTATTACGCGAAATGTGAGTGGCCACTCAGCCATCTCTTCGTTGCGACTCATCACACTAACTTGTGAGAAGTGGACATCGGCACGCCGCCACAGCAAGTCTATCTTCAGTTAGACACCGGCTCGTTCGAGCTCTGGGTCAACCCAGAGTGCGCCAGGCTGCAGGACTCTTCTGATGTGTGGTTCTGCCAGGCTGCAGGTTACTACAATGTGACATCGTCGTCCACCGCTACTACGCTTGCGGGCAACAAAACACTGCAATACGGCGTTGGCAGTGCCAGCATCCAATACGTTCAAGATGACATTGGTCTTTCGGACACAGGTATGATGAGTCAACTCGATCCACACGGCTGTGAGCTGTCGCCCTGATCACCCTTCCAGACACTTCTCTCAAGGGGGTACAATTTGGAGTGGCCTTGGACACTGTCGACGAATGGTCTGGCATTCTCGGCATTGGTTATGGAGAGAACGTGAATACACCGTACAAGAACTTCATCGATCAGTTGGCCGACCAGGGGGTCACGGACACGAAGGCCTTCAGCCTGGCCCTCGGGAGCAAAGCGGAAGAGGAAGGGATCGTCATCTTTGGCGGGATAGACACGGGAAAGTTTACGGGCACGCTTCAGACGTTGCCCGTCATCCCGGCAGAAGACTTACCTGACCAGGTCCCGAGATACTGGGTGAACATGAGCTCGCTGAGCCTCACACCACCCAGCGGCAATACAAAGGTGTACCAGAACACTACCATGGCTGTCTTCTTGGACAGCGGCACCACCCTCACTCTGTTGCCGACAGATCTGGCCAATACTATTGCTGCTGACTTTGGTGCAGAGGCTGCAGATAGTCATGGCGTCTATTCGGTCGACTGTTCTCGCAAGGACCTCCCTGGCACCCTGGACTTTGGGTTTGAGGGGGTCACAATCCGCGTGCCATGCAAGGAACTAGTCCGGGAGCTCCAGACTGTTTCCCCCCCTCAGTGTTTCCTCGGTATCAGTCCCAATGACGACTACGCTTTATTGGGAGACACGATGCTGCGGTCTGCTTATGGTGAGTTCCACGACGACCAATCTGAGCGATTGAGACCCATCCGAGGACTAAATTCGCCGCAGTCGTGTTTGATCAGACGAACAATGCGATCCATCTCGCCCAATACGTCAACTGTAACAAAAACGAGATGGAGATTACTGACCAGACGAATATGAGCTCAATAACGGGCGACTGTGATGCACCCGACTTCAACACGGCCAACACAACCTCGGGAACCTCGCCGACGACTACTGCTACCACCGATGGAGGCAATGGGGGAGCTGCCGAGACCGATGCGTCCAATGCGAGCGCAGCTCCGCTGATACGGTCAAGCTCTCATACTTGGCTTGGATACTGGACAGCGTTGCTGTTTGTCACCATCTGGGTGGGCGCTTTTGCATGAGTTGGGATAGGAGGTAATACTGCATCTAGCAACGGCGTTTTTGAATTAGCCCACCACGGTGCATCTACTCCAGTTTGGCCGGTACGACTGCATTGACGCAGATGACGGAGGCCCGGCTCGGTATATTGGTAATATTAATATTGTTAATACTAAAAGAACGCGCTCAAAATGGGAGAGGGCGACGACTAGCCGTGAATATACTACAAATTATGGTTAATGCGTGACATTCGAGCCGTGCTTCTCAACGCGCATAAAACATTGGACCACCGCTTGTCATGCGGAATACAGCATGCCTATGAACGAAACCGCTAGAGGTACGAGAAGCGAGTCACAGGGATTTCCTGAAGCCTATAGGAAGCTCAGCAGGCGTTCTGGTTTGCGTCCAGATTCGTCGATCAGACGCATACTCCCGGCTGCGAGCCGACGACCTGGCACAACCTGGCATGAAAATCGTATGCCGGGACCGGATGATCAAGCTGCAAGCCGCGGGTGGACGAAGGTTGCATGATGCAAACATTCCATGGCATGTTCGGTGCAGGTGATATTCTCGCCAGCCGCGTCCGTCTCTCGGCGCATAGAGAATTGATGAGCCTCGTGAGGCCTCACGTCACAGCAATAGTCTCTGCCTGGCTTCTCGATATGTTTGTCTATTGTATTCTGTCCGTGAGTCTTGAGTTCTATGATGGTAGGTAGGAAGGCCCAGTAGGAGTTTGTCAGCCAAATGCCGCAGAGAGTGAAACAAGTCACTTAGGCGTGATCTCAGTCTCCTCCCTCGTTCAAGCCCGGAGCCCTGAGGCTACCTCCCGCGTACTGTGATGGACGAGCCACCTGAGGGACATGTACGGCACATAGGCCACCTCGTTGATCAGCTATACACATTCTGCTCGAACGTGCGGAAGCTCAAGTCTCCGAATCTACGACTTGTTGAACAATAATATCGAGATCCTCATTCTTCAGTCCCAGGAGATCCATCGAGAACCCATCTCGTGCCTCCCAGTCCCCATCCAAAGCTCCCAGAGCAAACACGAGATGTTCAATGGAGTCGGAATCGCCGGCCTCAGCCTTGGCCTTGTGCTCGGCGATGAACTCCTCCGCATCGAGGTGCTCGGCATCCCATTTTGAGCCGGTAGCCTTCTCGAGCGCGGCAAGAACGTCGAGCTGTGAGACGCAGAAGCTCTGCATGAAAAGCATCTTGTTCTTGGTCTGCTCCTCCAGGCGCAGCACCTTGAGCACGGCCTCAGAGATGCGATGCAGCGTCGAGGTCGAGCTCTTCAGCGTACCGTCGCCGAGGATGTCAGCTGTCTTGTTTTTCAGGTCGAAGTGCAGGAAGTTCGCGCGCAGGCCCCAGTCGAAGAAATGTCCGCTGACGAGGCTCGTCCATGAGAACTCGGGGTTCGCGGCGGCGAGCTCCTGCAGGCGCTCGCGGACGGCCACCTTGGATTTGAATAGGGGAACCAGCTCGAGGGCCCGCGGGCTGCTCGAGTCGCAGCTACCAAAATCAGCGGGGATGGCGCGCCGGACGCCCGTTGCGGCCGCGGCGTCGGCGATGCGCAGATGCTGTGAGACGTCCTTGAGCGGAAAGCACGTTACGACTGCATCCTCGCCCGCGAATGCCGCCTTGAGGCTCTCGAGCGAGAGCTCGTCGTCCACTGCGGCGCAGGTCTTGGAGTCAGGTATTACTCTTCCAACACAGAAGTAGGCCCATGCTACTACTCACCGGTCACGACGCGGACGTTGCCCGGGATTGTGGACGACGAGGATTGGCGCTTCACAACGGTCACGCGGAAGTCGCCCGCCGCGACGAGGGCCTCGAGGATGGATGCCCCCAGGTTGCCGTTGGCGCCGAGCAGGGCGACATTGTTGATGGCCATGCTGATAGGATCCCTGGGTTGCTTCAACGAGAGATGGACACTTCTGACCGCACTTTAGCTTTGTATTGTTGTGTTTGTTCTGGACCGGGGCTGATGATGGTGAGGGGCCAGTCTTACCAGTCACCGTCCAGGGTCGGCGGCAACCACGTCTCACGTCATTCCGACCCCGGCGATGCCAACGTGGACGTAAGCGCTTATCTTCACGCGCAGGGATCCGGGGCAGAGAGTATACGGCAGATCACAGTTTGTTTCTTCTCTTTCCGCGAGAGTGTGTATACATATATTCAGGTAAGTCGACTTGTAAGAGTGGTTGCAGATCACACTACCTTGCAACCTCTTCAGCCGCGCATTTCCTCTCGAGCCAGCGTGCAAACTCGGTCGCGGGGACATCTACGCCTCGCCAGAACATGTCCGACGCCCAGATGACTATGGAAAAATACAAGGTAGTTGAAACCACGAAGCTGATGGTGTAATCCCAGCACCCGTTCAGTAACACCTTCCCAACTGTCCGATTCCCGAGTCCATGGACCAGGTAGAGGGCGAAGCTGATGCGCCCGAGGTATCGCGCCGGTCGGGTTATGAAGACTGCCTGGACTGATGGGAGAAAAGCCGTGGGTCCAACCGTCAGAATCGCGCCGACAGCCAGCCAGTAACGGCGGCGATAGGCTGTGAACGGCCACGTGTGTTGCGACCACATGTAGCCCGGCGTTTTGGTCGGATGGTTCGCGCGGGTATCCCGACAGGAAGAGACCGAGCATCAAGGTCATGATGAGCATCATGTTGACCAGCCTCCGTCTCGATCCACTGGCCGGCTTCTGCAGCAGCACCTCGAGTTCGGGCAGGAGCATGCCGGCGATGAAGAGAGCGACGTCCCAGCGTTTATGAGCAAATGAATGGGCCATGAGCATGGTCTCGACGGCCAGACGAACGAGCGTCCGCGTCTTGGCCAGCCCTAGGATCATGAGGAAGACGACTATCGATCCGCGGAACTCGACTGCAATCGACCACAGCTGTGGATTATAAAAGCCCGAGAAATCCGCCGTCCATTCCCATGGGTTCGACTCCATATCTAGGTACTCAAGATACGCCGTAAAGCTGTGTTCAAAGGGCTTTCCATCCACCTTTTGAGGCACCATGATGACGCCCACGCAGGCGCAGGCGAAGGCCAGGGTGCTGGACGCGAAGGCTGGGAGGAACAGGCGGATGGCGCGACGAAAGGTGAGAGACGTCAGTCCCGAGAACAGCTCGGAATGCTCCCGGCGGTGCATCCTCTGGACAAAACGGTGCGACAGCACGAACCCGGATACGACGAAGAATACCGAAACCATGGCCGCTCCCGAGTAGATGACTCTGACGAAGGGGAGCAACAAGACAGACGTGTTGCCCTTGTATCCCCATCCCGAATTGACCGAAGGATACGGAATATGACTCCAGTGTAGGATGAAGACGATGAAGGAAGCCACCCCTCGAACGCCGTCGAGGTATTCCGTCGAATACTTCTCCTTGCGCGGACCACCTTGCCCCGACTCGGGTTTCGGCGTGGTCTTGCGAAGAAAGCTTGGCCTCATGAAGTCAAGGCATCGCGAGGCGGCCCGGCGAGGTGAAAGGGGCCGCAGCCCGCTTCTCCAAGCCGCCGGTCTCGTCCGCGGCTTCTCTGATGCGACCTGGGGTAGAAGCGAATCATCGTCCTGGGCAAACGAGGAACCCGGAGTATACATGGCGACAGCTAGCTGGTGGGCTTAACGATCGGCAACAGGAAAATGTCAAGACATTATAAAGGGACCAGGATATGGAAGTGTCAAACTGTGACTTCAAAGAAGACATGAGTGTACGACAGGAACTATGCAGCCGTGGCTCGTGCTCGTCACCTTTGGCCAAGATTGAGACTGAGACGGGCATCGATAGCAGATGAGCAACTTCATAGAACCCCCTGCCCAGCTTCCTCGATCAGCATATGGTATTTGGGGGGTCGATGCCATGTGCCAGGGTTTAGCACTGGTGAGCAGGACCAAAGGCCCCTCGAACACAGTGACGAACTAGGGACCCTCACACCTCATCAAACTCCAAAAGTTGTGATAATAAGGCACAACTGGGACTATGGTACGCTACTATAGGGGTCATCCATCTGCTGTCCATCTGATATGCCGGGGAAAGCAACGACTGCCGGGTGCGGGTGCAGTAATCCGGCCTGCCGTGTCCTGTCTGACGCCCCGAGTATGAGAAAGCTCGTAAAGCAGAGACGAGAGGACAAGTCGACGATACGACCTTTCTGCCGTGGACGGGAGAGCGATATCGACAGGGGGTCTGATACGACGGTCGAGCGGCAGTCGCTCGCTGCTCAGATCACTGCCGCGAACGTCCCAAGCTTGCGAAGCTTCAGCCAGAGTCTCCCCAGCCGTATCGCTCAGATGACGTCTGGGCAGCTGGGGTGTCAGTTCACAGAATAGTCCGGTTGGTAGGTGCGCCATCTTGGCAGCCTGGGGGCCTGGGAGAGCATGAAAGTGTGATCGTCATCATAAACTTGGCAACTTCGAGCCTCCAGAACGACGTGTTGGCTTGGTATGCTAGCGCTGAAAATTGTGAAGCATTCATCTTCTCCGGGCTGTAGCCTGTATGCAGGTTCAAGACTGAAGACTCAGGGGCCATACCCTTTGCCCCTTGGCACCCACTGCACGGCAAACCCGCTTGGGTGAGGGTAACGGGCTTGTCTTGCAGAGAGCAACCATTCTTGACCCCCTGATACTTTGTAACGTTAATAACGAGTGACCAGGGGATATCCTGAAGGGGATAATGCTCGCGTGCCTAGATCCCGATGGGGAGAATGCTCGCGTGCCTCGATCTCGCTAGGTCTGTCAACCGCCCACTCTCTCGTCCAGGTCATCGTGAACCGTCGTGGTCATGCTGGCCGTTCGTTATATATATTTTCTTACTTCTCAGGCACTTTATAGCAAGATAGTGGAAGATCACCCGCCGGCTGAATAAATGCTAGATTATCTAAACCGTCCTCGCCTTATCGGCGGACCACGCTTGGGCGCTCCAAACAGAAGGTGCTTTCACAGCCCGTGAGGTGCCAGTACGCCTGCATAGGTATGTGAGCACGCGACGTTACGCCCATCACAACAACTACTCCTTTCACCACACTCCCTGTCCCGTCTCGGCGCAATGCCGTCTTCTGCTCCGTTGTCTAGACGGGGCATCTCCTGGGTTGCTTCCGGCTGATGGTTACGGTAGGTGCAAGTCCCCCCCTACAGGATGAAACAACAATATGGATTCCTCCCACCAATGATACTGATGCGGTTTGCTGACACCGCGATTACAGATTCACGCCTGACACGAGGATACTAGGTAGGGAGTCTGGAGTCATCTTGACGTCCTTGCTGCGGTCTACGTTTGTCATCCGGCATCTCGATACGCATACAATATGGGTTGGCAGGGCCAAACACTCGCCATCACGAACCCAGGTCCACTCGACTATTCCGTGGCAATGTTGACACCGAGGAGTTTGCGTCTCTATACCAGGGTTCCCGGATCCCCGGTAGAGCAGCGAACCTATCCTCGTCGTTTACGAAGGGCTATCCTCCTGGCCTTCATCTTGGCAGTTGCATGGCTGGCTTGCAAGAAATTGGCGTCGGTCGACCTGACGAGCACAAGTTATGAGTTCATGCGGGCAGCTTCCCCTGACGCAAAGGCGTCTCGATGGGTCGGCGGGGGCGCCATTGCCTCGTTGGCGTCACAAACCCATCGAGACAGACCCCAAGAAGGGCCCGGTGCGGCTAAGGGAGAGAAGAACACACTCTACCAAGCCGTGCCCGAGGTGGTCAGGATACCTTTCGAGGAAGCGGTGCAGGACGTGGAGCTCCAGGGCTGGGAGGACGAATGGTTCTCCTCGGGCAACTACAACATAGAGGACAATGATCCGCTGGCGGAGGCCATGATCGACTTTGTCTACAACTGGGTCAATGGGTCGGACCAGGCCTTCAAGGATATTCGACATGCCTACGAGCTCGGTTCGCCGCTGAATGACCATGCCAGCCACTGGATCGCTCAGCACAGCATCAACAGATACCGCGACTGGGACGAGTTGAGGTACTCTCTGCGCAGTCTCGATGCCTACGCCGAGGGGTTCGTCAACAAGATTCAGCTGCTTGTAAACTCTGTCGGGGGTAAGTCGTACCACAGCGATGGGGAGAGCATGCACCCTCAACGCCCCTCTTGGCTGAAGGACGACGATAGTACCTCTGAGCACGTCCAAGTACTCGGTCAAGAATCCTTTTTCCGTGATCAAGAGAGGAAGTGCCTTCCGACCTTCAACTCCCTTTCCATCGAGTCGCAGATCTACATGATGCCCTCTTCGACCGACCAGCTGGTTGCCTTGTCGGATGACGTGTTTCTCGGCATGACGCATGCTGCGTCCGACTTCTACTCCCCGCTGTTCGGTCCGGCCATGGGCTTCAAGTCTGATCACTACAATGTCAAGAGCCTGGGCGGCAAAGACCAGGTGCCGTCCTTTGGTGAAAAGCCATTCGTCTATTACACATCCTACCTGTTGAACCACCGGTTCGGCCAGCGCAATCGCCATGTGCAAGCCCACATTGGCCACTCGGTCTCGCGGGCTGTGATGAAAGAGGCCATGGCCTCCTTTCCACAGCCCTCGGCCAAGGGTTCGTGCGAGCGCTTCCGGGGCGAATCCCGTTTTCAGATATATCCCTGGTACGCAAGCTTCCACTACAGTATCGAGAGATTTCGAGAAGCTTTGCTCTGGTCCTTGGTCATGTCGCGGTCTGATATCAACTCGGACGGCTACCTCGACTGGACGGAACGCCAGCACCTCCTCGATGCCGTCGAGCCAGGATGGCGACAACTGGCCACCAAGGACACCTCCAAGCCCGCGGCCCAGCCCGAGAACCGCGACCGGATGTATTATAATCTACCCCAGATACTGAGAGACGCTGGGCTGGGGCCCACCAAGGTCAACCTCAATGTGCTGTGGACCTCGCTTGACGGCCCCGAGACGATTCGCAATGTGAAGTGCAACGACTTCAGCGTGGATAAGTGCCTGGGGGACTCGTTCGCCTCCTCGTTGTCAGATATGACGTCGCCCAACCCAGACTTTGCTACTTCGAATGTCTTCTCGCGGCTTTCCCATCAGCACCCCCAGTGCGGCGACTGTCTCCTCAAGTTCCTCTTGGCTTCGACGCCACGTGGATTGGAGCCTCTGCTGCCGCCACGCTCCAAGCCCGTCGACTGTGAGATGATCGTCAAGGTGCTGAAGAAGTACCAACACACCATTATCGATACCGACGCAATGAAGTTCGTCATGATCAAAGACGCCGAGCAGGCCGAGACGGAGCTGCTGGAGAGGACAATCCGGAAAGACAAGGTCTTCGGCCAGTGGTGCCTGAATGACGACGTGATGACGGAGAACGCATCGCAAGTAGGAAGGGTGAAGGAGGTTATGGGACAGGTGTTCGAAACGCTGTGGCCAAAGAGGGGAACATGGGAGAAGGACGACTTGTAGATCTCCAGCATGTGTACACTTTATTTCTTTAGATACCACAAACAACAGTATTCACATGCCTGGCCGTGCATGCTCACATGAATGAATACTGGCAGTCATCTTGCGTCGAAACCTGGGCATCGTCGACAGGTGCAACACAACAACACAGCTAGAAATGTTGCTGTCCTGGATGCAGGTCAAAAGCATTTCCTCTCTCCCGAGATGACAACGATCGTCGATCACGTTGTGCCGAGATACCTGCAACTAACAACATTCCTACATTACCTTCCGCACCCCCGTAATTAGGAAGGCGACAGGAGCACCACTCTCCCTCTGATGTGAGATCCGTATACAGCCCAAGCAAGACATCTTCGGTCCAAAATCCAGCAAGTCTTGTCGCACCATGGGACTACATCGCGTGTGCCTTGGAGCATGCCGCATAGGCGACAGCAATAGCTCAGGCTCAACCCCACCTCCGGTCCGTGGTCAACCGTCTTGCTTGATATCAAGCAAGTGTGAACATGTTTGCGGTCCAGCCAAACGCCCTATTGAGCCTTCGACCAAACCTCTTGGCAGTGATGTACGGAAGCTTCGCGACAGGGTGCGGCTCATGGAATTGGATGCTTCGGTGGGCCTTTTCATCCGTTGGGTGGAAGTTCCAAAAGGACCCGAACAGCTTCCCGTGGGCAAAGCCCATCGACGCCATAGCAAAGCAAAAATCGGTCCACTGTAAGTTTGGTTGGTAAGTCAGGCCACCTGATCATGTCACGGGATCCATGTCAACAACGTGACTTGTCCACTTACTGGGATTTCACCGGGCGAAGCTTCTCCGGAGTCGTCGTGGAACAACGTCTTGAAAACCCTCAAGGCTCTGTCTTTGACCTTGAACACTTGTCTGGGAGCATCCGTCTGCTCCTCTTCAATCATTGAGCCTGCCGCATCGAACGACTGGCTGATTGGTGTACCACGAGTCTTGACCTTGCCGCGACTAGGAAGCAGGATTTCCGAACGAGCATTGGCGACCGGGGCCGTATGTGGCAGTAGGTAGGCTGGCTCGAAACTCACCTGTGCCGCCAGGCGATCCTTCTTCTTGCTGCACAACGGTTCAACCCACGACTCAGTTCTCACCAGCCCGTTCTGGGATAGCAAGTCTCCGAGAAGCGGACTCGACTCGACATTCTTCTTCAACGACCTGCGAAGGTCATCCCAGAGATAGTCAAGCCGTTTCTTGGCCTGCATCTTGATATCCGTGTTTCGTTTGTTGTGGGGCTTGTCAGCTGGATATTGCACTTGGTTCTTGGACGGTTTCCCAAACGATGATAAGCCATGGCACCAGTGACAGTTCTTGAGGCTGGCCAGGAGTGGGTGACGTTGATACTCGTCTGTCTCGGAAGCAGCCACCTTTTTGGCGATGAGGCTGTCGTCACATGATTCCGACACTAGATATAATCTCAGCTGCTCGGCGCAATCGGAGAGAAGATAGACATAGGCGAGGTGGCTCAAGGTCCAAGAAGTGAACTTCTGGCGGGCTTCCGGCTGCTTCTTCAGGAACAGGTCCAGCTCGTCCAAAAACACCTTGCGACCGAGGTCAAGCGATCCAATGGGGACCTTTGTGTACAAGACATTGTGTATGAACTGTAGCTTGCTCATGACAGTTCCGGGCTGATATGGCTTTCTATAGTGGAGCGAGAAGTGCTCGGGGTCACTGCCATCGATACAGCATTGTGTGGAACGCATGATAGGGGAGCTGTAAAAGCCGTCGTAAGTTCGTTGCATAAGCTCTTTCAGGAAACGGTCTGCCACCCGCAGGATGTTAGTCACCACTTTTGGCTGTGAAGGTATAGGACCGACATAAGTCTGGAACCATGCCTTGCGACGGCAAGACGCTTGAGGACGGCTTACCCAGATCCTTGTCCAGCTCAACGAAGGCATCCAATGTGTCGCTCCAGAAACAGTTATCGCAATGATAGGCTGGTTTTTTGGCCACACGAGATCGAAACGCCACGATCTGCTGTAGCAGAGTATGCCACATGACGACCGCCTCAAGTGCCTCCCCGATGCTACGATGGATTTCATGGTCCCACATGTGTGCATCACCCTGTAAGAGTGATGCGTGAGGGTTCCCGGCGAGGTCGAGCACGTTGGCGTTGTTATGCTCTTTGCAGCCAAGAATAGTATGGGCGAAGTAGCCGGGGTCCTCTCGTAGCGCGAATACGTGATCCTTCGCTGCCGCAAGCCTGGCAGAAACGACAGCTTCGAGACGGTTCAGGTTAAAGTCGGCTGGAAGGCGGTAGGGAGCCTCTTGGACGGCAATAGAAAACGCATCAAGGATATCTGCACGACACGTAGCCGAGACCGAGGGAGGCTCCGGGCGCACAGGAAAGTTGGCCGCGATGATATCGTTCTGGGGGATATCGTGGAGGATAGCGCGGCTACACTGGACTAGAAAGTGGTAAAGCCAATCCTGAATATCCAGGAGCAAGAGGCCGAGCCCTGGAACGACACCCTCGGCACAAAGCTTGCGATCGCGACATCGCCCTTCATCGTGGAGACAATAGGATAGCTGACCATACTACGAACAGGAGTTAGCCCGGGCACATACACTTTACCGGACTTTGTACTATACAACTGTATGGCGATGGGAAAAGATACGAAGCATTGCATGCAAAGCGAAGATGGAACGGGGTTTGCGGGAACGAGCTGCAAGTCAGACAAGCCAATGCGGCAGGCGTCAAAGTCGGAGTTGACGAAAGCGTCGGGGTAGTTCCGACCACGTGCATTGAGCATCAGGAGCAGCGGCTCAGGCTTGACAAGGTCCTCGAGGTTGAGGTGTGGCCAGAGGTAGACCTCTCGCCTAGCGGCGTGGCCAGCGCCGCGGACATTGGCCATGATCTCCATGATGGCGTACAGGTCGGGTCGATGGCCAGTAGGGATGTCGGGCCAGACGTGGGTCAGCAGGGTCCCTCGCTTGTTGGGCGACTTCTTGAGCCATCGTCGCTGGACGACGTCCTCGTGGCGCGGGATGACGTCGCGAAGCCAGGACCAGTTCTCGAAGATCCGCTTGGTGTGCTCGAGCGTCTTCTTCTGGACAGCCTGAGGAGACAAGTAGTTCAGCTTGCCGTCGAAAGAGCCCCCAAGCATTGAGAATATTCCCCTGATACACTCGGGGCCCGGGGGATGACGAGTCGGGTCGGCGGCCATGTCTAGAAGCGCGTAAAGCTCGACACTGCGGATGCCCATCCGGGCCGAGGCGCATGCCATCTTGGTGGGGGCGATGGCCGGTGTGCCGTGGAGGTCTGGCATGGTGGTTTGGTGCCTTTCGTGTCAGAAGGAAAGGGGTAGAGGTTGAGATGCTCAGGGGTTTCAACACAATAACGCCACGGCCATCAGTTGTAGTGTCGAGTTGGCCATGGGGCGACGGAGTATGGAGGGAATGTGGAGGGAGTGTGTGGGGACTGAGACGTCAGTCGTCTAGAGGTAGGCACCACCTACATCTAGTGCCTGATGCCTGATGCTGTCGTTTGTGTTTCTGGCAGGAAAGGACGGCCAACCAACAATTCAACAGCCCAGGGAAGTGCGTTGGTGCTGCATGTACCGTACGTCCGGGCACCTGCCAATAGTGGATGTGTACATGTACCCCCTACCCCTATACATGGCACCCCCGATGTACATGTATGCCGGTGCGGCTTGATAACCTGCCTACATGCGGGTGGCAATACATGTGGTATAATACTTCAACGTTGTCTATTACCACGCAATTACTTCCATGCCGACCAAGGTGCCTCTGTGCCTCCTATACACCATCACCCGTATCCCCATTGGCGCGGCTGGTCAGTGCAAACAGACGAGTCCAGCAAACCCGTCGCTCCATCGTAAGCCGCCCATGATAGCCACCATGCAAGCCAACGCCGCAACAACGCTCGCGCCGCCATAGATGTACGCGTGTCGGCGCCGGAGAGCCGCCAGCTCGGCCACCAACGTCGACACCGTGGTCAGGCAGCCACAGAAGCCGTCCTCAATCCCCTGCAGGACCTGACAGCCGATGACGCCGCCCTCGGGAACATGAGCGAGGTCCCAAGCCATGCCAAGAAGCGCCGTGCCCCCGACGTTGACAGCAAACGTCCCCAGTGGGAATGACGCGAGTTGCCCGTTGAGGTAGAGGCTGACGTAGAACCTCGCAAGACAGCCCAAAGGCGCAAAGACCAAAGCAAAGGTCGCCCGTCCACGCCACACCTCGGAGGCGCCGGGATTGGTGGACCGATCAGGCGGAATAGCAGACAGGACGATGGCTCCGACCCATGCGCCCCACGCGAGGAAGACGGCGAACCGGTCGACGACTTTGCGGACGAAGACATAGGGAAGCGAGGGTGTGACGGGCTCTAGAGCAACGGCGATGTGGGCGCCGACAAAAAGGCCCGACAGTGACAGTGAGACGGTTGTTATGATGACAGCCAGCAGCGCCATGAACGAATAGCCGCCGTCGCGCGGAACGGTGGTCGAGCCGGTGTCTGCCAGGGGCAGATCGTTGGACAGGGCCAGGAAGACGTCGCGGATGAAGGAGGAAAACGAGGTGAAGGAGCCACAGAAGCCGGTCGCCAGGCCGATGTAGAGCGGGATCGTCTTCTTGGTGGCCAAGTGGGCTTTCCTTGCGGCCGCGAGGTCGACGGCGGCTCGTTCGGGGTCGGGTCGGCTCTCCTCGGCAGTCTGCCTCTCCGCTTGCGGCTGTCCCACTTCGGGAGCACCCCATTCGCAGCGGAACAGCATGCGGTCTTCGGCGAGGAAGCCCATGATCAGACTGCCTGCGAAATTGGGCCACAAGACGCTTAAGGCGACCGGGGCACCGGGGTAGTACGTGAGAGCCTGGAGGCCGAGTCGAGCGAGGGTGCCAAATATGGAAAAGAGGATTAGATACGAGACGGTGTAGACCTCGGTGGCCAGCCTCGAGACGGTCACCTCATCAGCCTGGCCGGCTTTCTTTTCATCGCTTCCATGGGGCCGCACATGGTTCATCGATGTCTGATGGCCGGGCCTCTCCTCCTCGAGCGAATCGCTCTCATACATGGATCGCTCATTGCGATTGCTATGGACGGGCGAGATGGCCGACGACTCGGGTACGTTCATGTACGAGTCCGGCACGCGGTGATGGGTCCCCGAGGCAGATGAGCGGCTTCGTCGCGTCTGCGCCTGCGCCTGCGCCTGCTGGCTGGGGACTTTATGCTGCGAGAGCGGTGCTTGTCCGTAGTCATCGTCAAGGGACCGGTACTTGTCCGGCATGTCGAACTGTACCGATGGACCCCTTGCGGCGCGGCCGGAGGCGGTGGAAGGGCGTGCAGCAGCATCGCGGTGGGACGCGACATTCTCGCGGCCTTGCGGCATTGTATTGCATTACACGGCGTGTACTGCCTGCGGATACCCAGTCATGCCAGAGTACTGGCACTCCCGGTCATGTACTCAGGCGGCAGTGACGGGAGTGACTGACCATCGAATTGCAATCAGCTGCTGAGCTTTCATCAACCTTATGTTGGGCTCGCGTCTAGCAACCTTCACTTCTACAACGGGTGGCTACAGTAATATACACAGTAAGCAATGGCAGTATTGAACGGAGTGTGGCCGCCGCTTATCTGCCCAGTCTGTTACGTAGCGCTATCAGCTTATCAGTCGTCTGCTATCTGCTATCTGCTATCAGCGAGCTAGGTACCTGCCGCGGGGCAGCGTCCGACCTGCCAAGCAGACACGCGCTTGGGTGCCGCCCCGCCATCCCATCTCGGGCTGTCACCTGGCTTCGTCTGAGGTCGGTAGGTCGGGAACAAAGAGGTCTCACATTCATTTCCTCTCTCATCAAAGCTTTGAAGAGGTTGCTTGCCCTTTTTGATAGTCCTGTCATTCCCGAGCTCATTTCTCTACTAGTAGTCTGGTAGTCTGGTGCCATATCACCGAAACGTCTCTGCCTTTCTCAACCTGTTCACTTGCCTGCGTGCCGTACACCATGTCGTTGCCCGACAACGTCCATACCTCCAGGCACCCGTGCCTGATGGCCAAGCTCAGCCGCCTGCGGTCCAAGGCAACCGATGCTCGCGAGGTCAAGTCACTGGTGAACGACATCTCGTTGATCCTCGGCTGCGAAGCTCTAGCTTCGGCTCTGACCCCCGTTGACGGACCCAAGGTATGTCTGTCTGTTTGCGTAGCTTGCCTCATCCGCTTCTCACGCCTCTCACTCCAGGGCGAGACACCCATTGGGTTCGAGTACACCACCACCACGGTGCAACCGCAGGAGCTGTCCATAGTGCCCATCCTCAGGTCTGGTCTGGGCATGGTCGAAGGTTCGTCCTTACTCCTTCCCCTCGATATCCCTTTTCTCTCGCTCGTGCTCGACGACGAGGCGCTGGCCGCCACCGACAGGCTGACGCTTCTACCAAGCCGTACAAACGCTGCTTCCGACTCCGGTCCCTGTCCATCATCTCGGTCTGTACCGTGAGCCCAGCACGCTCGAGCCCGTCGAGTACTACAACAATCTCCCACATCACATCGGTGGCGGCGGTTCGTCCACCAGTGTCTCGAGCCTGGCCATCATCGTCGATCCCGTCATAGCCACCGGCGGCACCTGCGTAGCCGCCATCCAAATACTCAAGGAATGGGGCGTCAAGAAGATTCTCGTCTTGTCCGTCATCGCCGCCGCCGACGGCGTGCGGCGTGCTGCGGCGGAGTGGCCCGATGCGGTGGAGATCTGGGTCGCAGGGGTAGATGCCGAGCTTACCCCCACGGGCATGCTGAAGCCCGGCGTTGGGGATGTTGGCGACCGTTTGTTCTTGACTATCGGGAAATAGGACGTAGGATATACCACTGAATCCCATGCTTACGAATAAGACGTCGTCGACATTGTGACCGAGTGCGTCTACTTTGTGAGATGAGGCCGCCGTGCCACAGGAATCGTGTTTGCCCTTGGGCGTTGGACACGCACACCAACACGACAATGGTCAGCTGTCTCTGACCCAGCCTACAGAGGCGCGTATCGTTCCTCGTCTACCACGGTCCGATTCTTCCAGCAGTCCTCGACCCATTGCTGCGATACAACCCGAGGCACGGAATGCCGCCGAGAGATGATGGACCGAACCTCTGCTGCTCGCTCCATCTCACTGGTCTCGTCCTTGCTCAAGACCACCACATTGGTGATTGAGTTGTCGTCGAGGTCGTCGACCACCACCCCGCCTCCAAACTTGATCCAATTCCTGAGCTTGAGTGCAAGTACCGGCGCGCCATCGTTAGCCCCCACAAGATGCATCTTCATGCCTCGGAAGAGGTGGCTCCTCAGGCTGCCCATATCGTGACCATGGCCTTCCAATTGGGCCAAGAAGTTGTCCTTGTTGAAGGGTTCATCAAATGTCTCCTTCTTTGGCATGTCTCTCAGCAACTGCCGGAGCTCCTTCACATCCAGGTCCCTAGCGTAACTGTCCCCAAACTCATCTATGTTTTCACTGGCAGCCTCATTTGTGGCTTCGACCGCATGGAATATATGACCTGGTTCATACGGCAGAAGAAAGTTCTTGTCACTTTGCGCGAGACAATCGAGAAGCCACTTGGGCCGGATCATGTCCACTTCACCGGCCTTGATCAAGCTTGCCACCTTGACCACCTTCTTATCCGCCACCAGTATCATATCGGTACCCGGGCTGGCGCGTTGTGACACCTTGCCGCCGTTCTCCTTAATCATTGCCTCCAACTGCGTCTTGGATCTTCTGATAGGCGCCGTGCAGTCCGTCAAGACGCAGAACTCGAGACCCTCAAACACCTTTGTCCTGGGCCCGGCAAACTCGATGGGCGCTGCGTCCTGGCCGGCGATGACAACGGCTCTCCTGGCTCGCTTTGTGGTGCGGCGTCTTTTTGTTTCCATCTCCATAGCCCTCTCCTCCTTTTTATCCCGGGCCTTGAGTCGGATATTCTCAAACTGCTGGTAGTCCAAGGCCGTACGAAAATCTCGGTCATGTCGGATCCACTTGAAACGTGGGAACCGTAGAGTAAACTTGCTGGCAAAGGAGTCACTCTCTTCCAAGCTAGCCGCCTTGACCGTGATTACGATGGACTCGCTTGGGCGAATCCATACGTCGGGTCTCTCGTACTGGTGCTTGTCGCCACCGGCCAGTTGAATGTACTTGCTGGGTGGTTTCTTAGGGTTCCAGTCCCTCCATTTCCCTTGCGTCAGGTGCTGGATTTCGGCAAAATCCTCTGCGCGAAACCCACCGCCGACCTTGATGAAGCTATAGCACTTCTCCGGATCGGCCCCGGCCTTAACGTCATCCTCGGTGACACGAAGGCCACACAAGAACGATGACAACCTACCACCACGGTGCCCCGATCCGTAGTAGCCGCCGATAACCACGACGTCAACTTCCTCGCCGAATCCAGACAAGTAATCGGGCTTGACCTTGATCCAGTCGCTGTTGCGATCGTCGACGTGGTAGCTCGAGCGTGGATTTTTGATCACCACGCCCTCGGACGCATCCGAGACGATCTTGCGGAGCATGGGCTCTATTGCGTCCGGCGACGTAGCCTCGATGTAGTCGAGTATTTCGAGGCGTCCTGGCTCTCCCGGGACGGCTTTGGCGAGAGCGTTGCGTCGATCTCGCAAGGTGTAATGGGTCAACGGCTGATCGTTCAGATAGACTATGTCGAACGCGCGGAAGACGGGCCGTGGCGCGTCGTCTTTGTGGGGATTTCGCAACGCCTGTAGGGCGGCCGTCTTGAGGGTTCCGAACTTCAAGACTTTGTCTATCACCGGGTCCCAGACAAGCATCTCGCCATCGAGGATGATATTACGCACTCCGGGGGCGAAAGCGTTCTTGAGGTGGCGGGTAAGCGAAGAGCTGTCTTGTTCGTACAAGCTCTCGCCGTAGAGATAAGTATAGTTCTTGACGTTCCTTGACCAGAAGCAAAACCTCTTGCCGCCAGGAATGCTGTCGTCCTCGACCATGTGTAGCTGCATTCTCTCGCCATCCATCTTCTCCTCGATCCAATACTCGTTGTCGGCGTCATCCCCCGTTCGAGTCGAGGCGTTGAGCTTCTCGATCATCTTCTGGAAGGAGACGGCCATCTGGTACCAGGCTAATTGGGGCTGGAAGCATTGCATCAGGTTGACACCAGTCTGGGCGCTAGTGAGACGGAATCTGGGGTCGTATAGCTCCCAGCATACTCTGCGAAGACTTGACGAGACACCGAAAAGATCCTGGCCGTCGGGATGCCACAGTTCGAGGATGGTCTTCTCGGTGGCACCCACCTTGAGCTGCCTCAAGATGATACGGATAAGCCACTGTAGTTCCTCGGCGTTCATGCGCTGGTAGAAGATCTCGAAGATGGGTAGCTGTTCCTTCTCGCCGGACGCGGCCGACAGCCTGTCGAGCATCTCATTGACGTCGGCCACGCGCATGTCCCCCGGCTCGATGAGGATGGGCCGCCTGGACAAAACCTCGTAGCATCTCGCGGGGAAGTCACCGGCGCCGGCCTGACTGGCAGCCGACTGGCCACGCGCGGGGGACTTCCAGTGGAGGATGCTGTAGGCGTCGTCGGAGTTGCGGTCAATCTTGAGAAGCTTGACTAGGAGGCGGGCGATGGCGTTTTCCTTGAGCCCGTACATGCCCCTCTCGCGGTCGGAGGCGGGCAGGATCAAGCGCAAGGCCGGGAAGAAGTCGTCGCCGACCTCGGACCGCCATCGAGAGATGAAGCTCTCGATGATGTTCCGACGGTGCTCTTGGGGCGAGAGCTTGCTAGTCCCACGAGGGCCGGCCCTGGAGCGGGCGGCGGAGGAGCGGGAGGGCTGTTTCTTGCTGTCATTCAAGGGGTCGAACAGATTCTTGTACAAGGCGGAGAAGAACAAGGTTCGTGAATGGTTCTTTGGGCGGTTCGGATACTTGTCGTCGAGCTCGGCCAGAGTCTGGCCGCCAGTGATGTACTGGCGTTCTTCCTCGTCGACGGCGCCGGGGTCGCGCGTCTTGTGCGCTCGCTGGCTCATGATGGCAGCTGACGTCGGGCACAACGCAGACGCCTTGTATTCCACTTGAGGGTGTGTCCGTTGGCGCTGTTAGAACTGGGCGTCTGGTTTGCGAGTGCGCGTTTGGTGATGCCGGTACCTGGGCTGCCTGGCTTATATACACTTCCCACGAGTATGTAGAGAGGAAGGCAGCAGGGTCGACGTTATGATCAGGGAGAGATAGCGGCAGGCATCCCACGTGAAAAGCTACGTGTAACCAGCCGCGTGCGAATGGTGTGCGCCGGAGCCTGCTGATACATGTGGTTGATAAATAGGTCTCAGCTCTGCCTGGCATGGAGCGTAACGGCAGTAACGGGCAGGATGCACTTATGCTGGAAACGGTCCACTGTTCTGGCCGTTGCAGGCAGCAGGCAGCAACCGTTTACTAAAGTGGGGATGCCGTAACAATTAACGCGTGGTGAAGAAGCAAGAAGGTGCGGGTGCGGGACGGCAGGTGCAAGCAAGCAAACGCGACGAGAAACATTGGATCCCAAACTCCGCAACCTCACATACAATACATTCAATAGAGACCTGCGTCGCCCCTTCTCGTGTCGCTCCTTCCACATCAAGTAACATTTATGTTGGTTTTCACGTCCCTGTATTTCCGAGTCAGCGCCCTTGAGTTCGCCCTCGCCCTCTCCAATTGACCTCCAGCTGTGACCAACCAGCCGGCTGCCTCCAACTTCTGGATGAATGCTGGGGCCATCCGCACCCGCATTCTGATTTCCAGTCCCTTCTTCCGAGCCCTCCCACGACGACTTGTTTCGCGGCAGACCCATTCACATGCCTGCGCCCGCCCCGGTGTCAATGCCTTCACCTTTGGCCGCATCTCGACAACTCCCGACGCCATGTTAGGCAGGGCACGAGACAGAGCTCAGGCCTCGGGCCCGCGCTCTGCCGCACCATCGTCCTCCGTCAAGCCCGAACTCGCCAAGCAGCTGTTCCCCTCGAGCAGCCCACACACGCACGACGGCAACATTGCTAGCTGGGCCTCTTCGTCTCAGAAACCCCGACCGACCGTTGGCGCCAATGCCAGTGCCAGGCCGCCATCATTCAAACCCGCCGCTCATGATCCTCTGGTGTCTAGGTCCAACAACTCGCAGTCGCGGGCCAACAGCCTCGCCTCTATCTGCAGCAACGCTGGTTCCTTCCAGGAAGAACTGGGAACGAGCAGCAGACCGTCGCAGCCATATCCCCCCTCATCGGTCTACATTGCCGATGACGACTTCAGCGATGACAACACCCTCGAGTTGGACTACGAATGCCCAGCCTCGCTACCCCCTCCACCTCCGCCTCCAGCACCCAAACCCGCAGCCACGCTGACGTCCGCACCAACTACCAGTCAGATCCCATGGTCTTCGTCCCCACAAGGTCATATGTTCCCGCCCGCGCTTCCTCGTAAGAACATTCTCAAGCGCTTCTTGCCTGAAGAGGCACCGCCTCCCGGCCCCCCTGCCGCGAAGAAGAGGAGCCTGCCCAGGCGGTGGGCACAGCGGGATACTGACGCTCTCGGCGATGATGACGTCCAGGAGATATGGGCCACGCAGGCCCCCAAGCCGTTGGCCACCCCGGCACCCAAGAAGCAGACCGCACTGCCGTGGGACACCACCCAAAGTGCTACCAAGGAGCGGCGCAAACAACTCAAGAATCAGAGCAAGAAGTCTGGCGTAGAGCCTGGCTTCTCCACGGAAGAGATGCGGGAAGTCACAGACGAACATGTCCTACAGAAAACTAAAGCCTCAGCGATTTCTCTCAGCTCCGAGCAGCAACACGTCATAGACCTCGTCGTCCGCCAGAAGCAAAGTGTCTTCTTCACCGGTCCCGCAGGGACAGGCAAGTCGGTCTTGATGCGGGCCATCATCGCAGAGCTCAAGAAGAAGTGGGCTCGCGATCCAGAGCGACTAAGCGTGACCGCTTCTACCGGTCTCGCCGCCTGCAACATTGGGGGCCAGACTCTGCACAGCTTTTCTGGCATCGGTCTGGGCAAGGAGGATGTGCCGACGCTGGTGAAGAAGATCCGAAAAAATGCAAAGGCAAAAAATAGATGGCTGCGGACAAACACCCTCGTCATTGACGAAGTGTCCATGGTCGACGGCGATCTCTTCGACAAACTCTCGCAGATAGCCCGCACCATCCGGAACAACGGGCGGCCGTTCGGCGGCATCCAACTGGTAATCACGGGCGACTTCTTCCAATTGCCGCCCGTGCCCGACGGGGGAAAGAAAGAAGCCAAGTTCGCATTCGATGCAGCGACCTGGAACACCTCCATCGACCATACCATTGGACTAACCCAAGTCTTCCGCCAAAAGGATCCTCGTAAGCTGAACCTATTGGGTCCCCTCATGTCACCACTGACTCCAGCGCGTGGCTGACCTTTTGCAGATTTCGCCGGCATTTTGAATGAGATGCGCCTCGGCAGGATTAGCGATGACACAGTCCAGACGTTCAAGGACCTATCTAGGCCACTCGGCTTCGACGATGGCCTCAGTTATACCGAACTGTACGGCAGCCACCCAGCCACCCACCCCCCCAAACAATTCGGGAGACGCGAACAGAGCTGACACAGGATAGATTCCCAACTCGCCAAGAGGTTGAGCGTTCGAATGAGTCCAGACTACGCAGTCTCGACGGCCCACTAGTTCATTACGAAGCGCATGACTCTGGAGACCCGAGCTTGCGGGACCGGCTCCTGGCCAACATGATGGCGCCCAAAGGCCTTGCGCTGAAGAAGGGCGCCCAGGTCATGCTAATCAAGAACATGGACGAGACACTTGTGAACGGCTCGCTCGGCAAGGTAATTGGGTTCATGAACGAAATGACATTTGAGCTCTGGAGCACGAATGGGGCTGGCGAGGGATTGGACTCGGGAGATGAAGGCGAGGCGGATGCGGGTTCCAAGAAGAAGATCAAGGCATTCAGCCGGGACACGGACGGCTCGAAGGACATGAAGGAATACCCAATCGTCCGGTTTACCTCAACGGACGGGTCGCACCGCGTCCTCCTCTGCATTCCGGAGGACTGGAAGGTGGAACTGCCGACGGGCGAGGTGCAGGCATCTCGCAAGCAGCTGCCCCTCATCCTGGCTTGGGCGCTCTCGATCCACAAGGCGCAGGGGCAGACTCTGGAAAGGGTCAAGGTCGATCTAGGGAAGGTGTTTGAAAAGGGGCAGGCGTATGTGGCACTAAGTCGTGCGGTGAGCAAGCAAGGCCTCCAGGTGCTGAGGTTTGAGAAGAGCAAAGTCATGGCCCACCCTCGGGTGATACAGTTCTACAACAAGCTGTACAGCGCAGAGTCAGCGGTCAAGACGAAGAAGTCTCCATCAATGGCGGACTTTGCGTACAAGGGAACGTCGACCAAGGCATCGAAAACCACTGGCTATTCGTCGACATCGAGAAGCACGGGCAGGAGGAACGTGGATGTGATCGACCTAGATGAGGAAGAGGCGGCGATGGCAGCGTATGGTTAAACATGGCATATAGCAGGAGTTTGCAGGGATTACTGTAAGGTGTTGCCGTACGGGTACCACCAATGGACCCTGGGTTTGCTTTCGGCTGTGGGCTATATCATGTCTTTGCTTGGGGATGTGTGGCAGTGAGGAAGTGGTATCTAGGAGAGACCCCGATACAGAGAGGGATAATGTCCAAGTCAAGGCTGAGTCTATATATACCTTAGCTCAGCTGCCGCCCTGAGGGCATAAATCATTGCCATGAAAGTGTGGTTGACACAGATGACTGACATCTTGAATACATGGTATGTATTTGCACATGTACATACATGTCCAACCGGTGGTATGTACGGTATTGTACATAATGCAGGGGCAAGGTCTTATCGATAAGAGAGGCATTACAAGTGTGTAACCTGTGACCGTAGTGGCGGGATGTGCATGTGCATGTGCATCATCAACATTGAATGTGTGCATGAGCATGAGCATGAGCAACCACAGCATTGGCAAATAATTGAACTGAAGCTGCCTTCGACCAACACATATGCCGTAGACACCTGAGGCCTGTGTTCCAGCCTTCCTCTTTTTGGCGGTGCTGCCTTTTCTGCCGTCAAAGGCTAGTCTTTCAGCTTTCTCCCGCCGAACACCACCAAGAAACATTCCTCGCCGATTTGTGCAGTCCAGAGCATACTCGGCGGGAGTGTGTGCCTTTGCAACAGATGCTCATCGGTCGAAGACGTCCAACACTGCATAACCTCGTTCGCCAAGTTGTCGGTCGCTACCATCGCCATTCTTCTTCCCGTATCGAGAATAGGGTCGCTGCGTGTCAAGCCGCCCCGCGCCCGGGACCATGGAAGCCTCGCCGCTGTCACAATGGCTAGGCGGTCCCTACATGATTGTGCTCAAGGACCCGGCTGGCGAGCGCATACGAGGAATCTTGAGGAATCTGGTGCCTGAACAACACCTTATACTTGACAGAGGTGAGTCCGAGGCAGACGCACATCTGCACGCCCCGAAAGGACGGCTCACTAACGTCTTTGTTCGCCACAGCCACCGTCCTGAGCACAGGTCGAACCTTCGGGCAACTGAGAATCAGCGCCGACAACGTGGCCGACATCGTAGCGCTACAGACACTCGAAGTTGCCGTCGACTCGATCGCTTCTCGAGCTCCTGCACCCCCCTTTGCGCCAGCACCGTCTCTACCCACGGCCCCTAGAGCCACCTTCCAGGATCCCGCCATACTGAGCATGGGCCGGAAACCTGAGGTACCCTTGCACGAGCCTGACCAATACCATCATCATCTGCCAAACACGGGGGAGAAGCGAGCTCCTGCTGTCGTCACCAACCCGGCTGACCGAACGACGTACTCTTCGACTGATGAATCCGATACGACAACAACTGCCACTGCCACTGCCACTGCCACTGCCACTGCCACTGCCACTGCCACGCTCAACGCCCCCGTGGCACAGATGACCATATCAACATCAGACTCAGCAGACCCCAATATCACCGAGGACAAAACCCAAGATCTACGGACGACGGCTTTGGCTTTGAACGTGCGTTCTGGCCCTGCACCCAAGGAGCGGGCACGGAGAGGAAAGCGTGGAAAGAAGCATCAGGGCACCAAGCGAGAAGACGTTGCATCGGTAGCGTCCAATGCGCGGCCGACTAATCAGGGCGATGGCTGGAGGCAGACTCCTATTCTACAGTCGAACAAGTCGTTTCAGCCATTCGCCTCACTCAAAAAGGGCCGCAAAGGCCGTGCCGATCCAAACGCGGAGAACGGCTGGGCCTCGGAGGACGTCACAGACGTCCAGGAGGCAGGGGACTTTGACTTTGAGAGCAGTCTTGCCAAGTTTGATAAGCGGTCGGTATTCAATGAGATGCAGGAACAGGACCAGGTCGATGATGCCGCACGTCTTGTCTCCCATAACCGTCTTCCGCGGCCCAAGGCGGGGACGGCAGGTGGCAAGAACCTTCACTACAGTGAGAACGTCCTGGACGTGCCGTCGCCTGCTTCAAAACTCAAGGAAACCCCTGGTGATTTCTGGAAGAGCGAGGCTGACGATGAGAATGTCAACCCTGGTGCCGAGGTGCTCAGCGGTCGCGAGGGCAGTGGCAGGACCTCACGCCTGAGGAACGAATCCCGCATCTCAACCACCCGCCGCTCACAGTCACGGAAGGCGAGTGCCACTGCTAGTGTCGGTGGCCCAGGCCGTGTGAACTCAGGTGTAGGTCCCTATCCCTATCCCTATCCCGTGGGGCCCACCCCTTGGGACAGGGCCCTGCTAACACGCTTGCAGCCCGTCTCATCCTCCACGGCCGCGGGCCTGTATACCGTGCCGTCAGATCGCCGCATCGAGACCGTAACTCATCTCCAGATGCTTGTCGTTGAGAACGTTGCCCATAACGAACTCGGGCTGACGGAGGACCTCATGGCTGAGAATGCAGGTCGAGGCATCTCCGAGGTGGCCATGCACGCCCTGGACGATCCTGCCATTAAGCTCCGTGTCGCCGCTGCAGCTTCACCACCCAGCTCCCCGACTATCGTTGTCCTTGCTGGTAACAACAAGTCGGGTGTGAGGGCGATTTCGGCGGCCCGCCATCTACGCAATCGGGGCATCAACATGCTGGTCTGTGTGGTCGGTATAGAGCGGGAACGGGAGCTGCTCGAGGACATCCGAAAGCAGGTGCGGCTCTTCCGCAACTTCGGTGGCGTCGTCGGCACCAAGTCAGAGCTCTTTGAGCGACTCACACAGACCACGGGCCCCCTGAGTGCGCCGTCTCAAATCTCTGTGACGCTGATCATCGACGCTCTCCTGGGACTTACCATATCTTTCGAGGAGCTCCGCAAGAGTGATCAGGCCACCACCTACGAGCTGATGGAATGGGCGAATCGGAAGGTCGAGGCTTTTGTCATGGCCATCGATATCCCCAGCGGTATTGAACCGTCGTCGGGCAAGGTGAACGTCATCGACGGGGCCAAGCTCTATGTCCATCCTCGGTACATCGTTGCCCTGGGTGCTCCGAAGCAGGGTCTCGTCGAGGCCCTGGAGATGGGCGAGGAGCAGGGCGACATCATGATGGTCGACGAGTGGAAGCTCTACCTTGCCGATCTCGGCCTCGGTGCGCTGGTGTGGCGGAAAGCGGCTGCCAAACTACGCCGTGGCATCGAGTTCGACGACAAGTGGGTGCTTCGATTGCGATACCAACCTCGCTTGACGGGCACTGGTTGATCGATGCGTTTGGCTCGAGTGGGTGGGTTGGTTGCCGTGCCGCCTTTTGAAGGGACTTGGGCTCACGCAAGTGGGCTTGGCTTTTGAGCACGGGCAAGTCCCACCTCCTCGGTATCAAGTCCGGTTCCGGTTTCCCTTCTTTGCGCTGCGTAGTTGATGATGGAGGACGGTGGCTTCAGGGCTGGCTGGCCAGTCGGTCCTTTGCATTTCGGCCAGGCGTATGGAGAGCGTTCGAAGACATACCCATTTCATGCATTTTCAGGGGGGCGTTGGTTGGTTGGTCTGCGCCACTCTGATGATGGGCTGGACATTGGTCGAGTTGATAAGGTACATAGTTGAATCCACATACAAGACAGCGCAACGCTCGCTGTATGAACTTCGAACTTCAAACCCTCCCAGTTCGCCATGAGTCCAATGGCGATTCGATATCTGCTGGGGCTGTTCACCTCGTGATCCCATGAGTGCAAGCAAGCATATGTAGACGGAAGAGAGTAAGGTAAGGGTTGTATGTACGATTCTCGCCGCGAAATTAAAAATTACAAGTAACGCGTGGCACTTGAGTGGCACTGGCGACAAGCCAAGATCCTCAAGCCATGATCAGTATTGATCAGTTTCCACTATAGATGTTGCCGCCGTCGATGGACATGGAAGCGTACTGGATATGTTGACAGCTCGGATCGTGGATCTATAGTCAACAGGAGGGTTGGTTAGTCAGTCATTCATCCATCCAACCCCGTCTGGGTATTTCCAAGTGTTACTGGCCGCCGGATACGATGTCCCGGTGCAATTGTCCCCGGCCCAGAGCCTGATCCGGCAGCCGCACCCGGAGACTTGAAAGGAGCCGACGGCCTCGTCGGGGGTCCAGCACCGCCAGTTGTGTGCGTCGCCTGTGTTCACGACTCGGGGCCTGTCGCCTTGGCAGTCGCCACCGATGAACATGTGCCAGTCGGGAGGCTCGAACGGACAGGGGTCCGGCTTGGATGGTGCGGCGCCCATGGTGGGGAATGATGGTGGTGGCTGGACTGATGATGTGTAGGTCCGAGGTGTAGTGGGTGGGAATCGGTGTCCGGGTTGGGGTTAGGTTGGCAGCCGAAGTCAGTATGATGCCGATGGGCTGGTGATGGTGAGGGTGAGGGCAAGGGGTGTTCGCGAATCGTCGTGGCGGTGTGGTCGTCCTCGATACTGGTGTTGGCTGGTACAAAGAAGAGATAGCTGAGATCCAGGCAGGCAAAGGCTGATGTGGCAGATACGAGTAAAGGTTACCTACGAGGAAGACACTACCTTTACCGCTGGGTTATATAAAGTGTGAGGCCTCGGTCCCAACGGTGAATGAATGAATGGTCAGAGTCGTACACTCGGCCCCGAACCAACGACAAACAGCTTGCGTTCTCTTTGTTGTATTGAGGTATTGTGACTTGAATCCGTGACTCATTGGCCCCTCCCCACTGCTGTCATTCCGATGCTCTGTTGACAGATGTAGACAAACAATGCCCCGACATTGTGCAACGTTGATGCGGTGTAGGTATACTCGCCCCTCGTAAGTCTCCGTATGCGCCATGTTGATGTGATTCCAGATCACCCGTGGAAATTTAGAAATACTGGAATAAGCAGACAGGAATAAGCAGCCTTGGTTCGATACGCTATTCTCAATGCTTATTCCATTGTGCTCATTCCGATTTCATGGGTACATGTATACCGTTGCTTGCTGGACGAGTGGTGCTGTACGGAGGCTTATGAGGGTCCGGAATAGGACGACGGCTGCATCACGACCTACACGGGACCCTCATTCTTCCCCTGACGTCTGCCTTCCTTGTCCAGATGCCAAGGTCGACACCCCCTGCGGGGTAGCGTGTTGAGAGGGTTTGTTCTTTTGTCATATTTCGTCTTTACTTACGGAGCGTATCTAGGCGTGTCTACCCAGGGTGCCCCCCTAAAGCCTCAGGGGCAATGTTGCCTGCAGTGGCTTCAGTGTTGTTCACGTGTCCCTTGACATAGTTGCTGCAGACCCAGCACCCGATACGGATCGCTCCTGGCAAGTTCCACCGCGTGAACCGCAAGCATGCGACCTGATCGAGTACTGGGGACTGAATATTGAACCTGCTGTGCTATCGAAGATCGAGCCGCCTCGTGTTCTCTGAAAACGCCCGGAAGATTATTTTAGGCTAAAGGAAAATACAGAGGGAAACCTCGAATTATATACGGATTGCTAATCTCGGCGTTCTTTAACACACATGACCTCCATGAAGCTAGATTAAGATCTCTTTTTGCAGATTTTAAGCGCGAGAGCACATCCTTTTTACGACGCGATTCTGGACGCGGTTCTAGACTCGATCTTATCAGATGAGAGGTTTAGTATGAAGAGGGCTAGAGGAATCTCCAGTGGCACTTTAAGCCTTTGGTAGAAGACCAGCTTGACGATAAACCACTTACAGTTCTCAATCTAATGTATGCGAGCAGTATGCGTTAGTAACGCTGACTCCCACATGATACAGGCATGGCCTGGTAGAGTCACTTACTGCTAAAGAATCAACGAATATTTAAGAAAGCCGCAAGGTTGTTCAGGGTATGAATCTTAGGGGTTTTTTTTAATTCTCTTATTTGCAGCTTATTAAGATCCCTTATTTATATCTTACCTTAGTCAGCTAGCTAGCAACCACTTAATAACAGGCTAAATATTAATAAACTTAGTAGTTTAGAATCGTATAACGTTTATATATATACCCTGAAAAATAATAGTTAGTTAATTAAGCTTATAATATGTCTATTGAATTATTTAACGTATTTAATTATAAGAGATACATAAAAAGTGTAATAACTTTAACAGTTGAAAGGGTTAATAAAAGTAGTTAAATAAAGGAGCTTTATTAAATGCTTTAAAAATAGGCCTTGCTTTATAGTTTATATATATATTTAATAATAAATAAGGTAGTGTAACTGTTGTGGTTATAAGTGGTATATACGCTGATTAAATAGATTCAAAGTGGGTTTAACGACTTAAAAACGGTCGATTAACGACCGTTACCTTACAACTTTAAGGTTACGCTACTCAAACGCTTTACACTTCTATTTAATATAAATCTATTAGTATAAAATACCTGTAAAACTACGGACGAATGTATTATCAATATTTCCGTATACCAATTCTTATATAATAATATCTTTTATTACGACGTAATAAAATCTTAAAATATTAGAATTTTACAATTACGTACGTAATAATACCTTCTTTTTTATTATAGACTTAAAAGTATACGTTACTATTGTTAAGCTTATTTACTACGCCGGTACGAAAACGTTAATTGAATATAAAACTTTTAAACCTTATAAAATTGGTTATACGATATAAAGTCGTTATTTTTTCTCTTGGTGATTTTAAACGTTAATAAATATTATGAATAACGTAAGTGATTACGAAGATAACACGAAAATAACAGCCATTAACGATAAAAAACTTATCAATGACGAGAAATTATACTTTGTAGAAAGGCCGAAAATTAAGTTTTACCGATAAATTAAAAAAGTTAATGAAAATCCTATAAAACCTTTAATACCTATTAAGCGTAATACAGCTAACAACATACTAAAAGGGATAAATAAAGACTTGAAAAGGGTAGGAAAAAAGGATTTAAGCGTTATTTAGCAAGTTCGTTATTTAATATTAAGTGAACGGGCATTAAAAGGCTCTTACAGTTATATTTAAATAAGAATCACACCTATAAATTTATAATCAAAGCAGTAACAATCATCCATCTTATTTTAACCTATGACATGCATAAACCCCGTTTATTACATAATAACAAATTTGGATTTTTTGAGGATTTTCCCCATGCTCTGAAAAAACAATTAAAACGTTTTAACGGGCCTTATTAACATTTCCCAATAAGTAAAGGTTTAATGAACTTAAAATAAAAGTAATAATAATATTATACGTAAAAATAAAAGTAATAATAATATTATACGTAAGAATAAAAGTATTAAAAACGATACTAACGCTTTATAACGTAAACTCGTAAAGTTTTAAAAATAAACATTAAAGCAAAAAACAATTATAAGTAACAAAGCTGATAAGAAGATTTTTTTTTCGAAAACCCCGTTTAAAAAAAACTCGCTTCGGTTTTAATCCTTTATTAACGCGGCTTTAAATAACAACTATTAAATAAACGGCATTTAAAAAACATAACAACAAGAAATTATAACATTTAAATTTTAACAACGCGATAACGCTAACGCCACTCGATTAAATTAAAATTAATAATATAATATAAAACCCCATAAATAAAAAACCAACGTGTTTAATTACATTTTTTAACGTAATAATAAAATAATCACTTGCTTTAAAGCAATAACGTAGCTGACAAGCGAGTTGACGTTACAAGCGAGTTGGCACTCGTCATGAACTTTCCAACCAATACAATTCAAACCATCATATCTCCACCAACAACAATGGCACCGCGTTATAACAAATCAGACTTGCAGCTAGCTGTTCAAGCTAAACGACGTGACCCTCATATTCCTATATTTCAGCTTGCGAAACTCTTTAACGTCCCTCGTTCCACTTTGAGCAATAGAGTCAAAGGAATGCCATCACGACGCGACAGCATGCCCAATACTTTGAAACTTATGGTTTCTGAAGAGAATGTCATTTGTTCCTTCATTCTCGACCTGGATGCGCGAGCATTTCTGCCCCGGTACAGTTATATTGAAGATATGGCGAATCAATTGTTGGCGGCGCGTGGGGCTGGACGCGTTGGAAAGAACTGGATGCGGAACTTCATCAAACGTACACCAGGCCTCCGGATGCGTTTTTATCAGAAGATAGACTACCAGAGAGTCTTGAATGAGGATCCAGACGCGTATCGCACGTGGTTTCGCCAAGTTGCAGCAGCAGTCGCGAAACATGGTATCCAAGACGCGGATATTTCCAACTTCGACGAGACTGGGTTTATGATAGGCATTATTGGGTCCGGCATGGTTATTACAAGCGCCGAAAGACGTGGCAGGCCTAGACAAGCTCAGCAAGGCAACAGGGAATGGTCTATAGCAATCTCTGCTGTTAATGCTGATGGTTGGGTGGTCCCGCCGTTCATCATTCTACAGGGCAAAACCCACCTCGCGTCATGGTATTGCGACATGATATTACCACACGATTGGAAGGTGGCCGTGTCCGACAACGGGTGGACCACGAATGAGATTGGTTTGGAATGGATTCAGCATTTTGACAAGTATACCAGACCGCGTATGACTGCCGGTAAACGCCTCCTCATCCTAGATGGTCACGAAAGCCACCATTCCCAGGTCTTTGAGGATTATTGTCAGAATAATGGCATTATCACCCTTTGTATGCCTGCCCACTCGTCACACAGGCTCCAGCCTCTAGATGTTGGCTGTTTTAGCCTGCTTAAACGAGCTTACGGTCGCATGATTAAGGATCTCATCTGGCGTCATATAACCCATGTTTCGAAGGAGGACTTCCTTGCAGCGTTTTGTGAAGCACATAACGCTGCTATGACGCCAGGAAACATTCGAGCAGGTTTCAGTGCCACTGGGCTTGTTCCTTTTGACCCAGAAAGTGTCATTTCAAAGCTGGATGCTGTCGCTGTCATACGAACACCGTCGCCAGACCCCAATCTGCCACCCACTACTTGGACTTCGAAGACGCCTACCACCATTAACGAAGCGGTAAACCAATCGGTTTATATCCGAAACTGAGTCAGAAACCACCAGGGAAGCTCACCTACATCAATAATTGATGCATTAAGCTCGTTTTCAAAGGCTACATACGGTCTTATGCATAAGGTCGCTTTGGTTGATTCCTGGGTCCGCGAACTAGAAGAGGCCAATCACCTACTAAGTAAATGCCAGAGAACAAAAAATAAACGTCTAATAAAAAGAGAAGTACTTTCTGTTGAAGATACAATAGATCTTTAGGCTGCAAAGGATGGTACTGAGCTGGCAAAACAGGAAATGGGTGAAAGTAGTCATCGTCCGAGGCGGGC